GTCTCCAACGTGCTTGACACATGTCGGGCATACAATGTGCATTAGATGGATGGACAGTAGGTGGGTGTATGAATGGGTAGATGGATTGGTGGGTGGATGAAGGATGAGTGCATGGAAGAAGGATGGGTAGATGAATTGATGGATGGATGGATGGATGGATGGATGGATGGATGGATGGATGGATGGGTGGATAGATGGATGGGTGGATAGGTGGATGGATGGATGGACAGATGGGTAGATGGATAGGTGGATGGATGGACAGATAGATGGAAAGACGGGTGGACGGGTGGGTGGATGGATGGATGGATGAGTGGATAGGTGGGTAGATAAATGGGTGGATGGATGGATAGATGTATGGGACAGACTAGACAATGGATGGATGGATGGATGGATGGATGGATGGATGGATGGACAGATGGACAGACGGGTGGATGGATGGATGGATGGATGGATGGATGGATGGATTGGATGGACAGACTAGACAATGGATGGATGGATGGACAGGTGGGTGGATGGATGGATGGATGGACAGATGGACAGATGGGTGGATGGATGGATGGATGGATGGATGGATTAGATGGACAGACTAGACAATGGATGGATGGATGGACAGGTGAATGGATAAATGGACAGATGGGTGGGTGGATGGATGGACAACAGGCGGGTGTATGAATGGGTAGATGGATCAGTGGATGGATGATGGATGAGTGTGTATGGATGGATGGATGGGTAGATGAATTGATGGATGGGTGGGTAGATGAATGAATGGATGGATGGATGGATGGATGGATGGATGGATGGATGGATGGGTGGATGGGTGGATGGATGGATGGATGGGTCCATAGATGGATGGGTAGATGGACTGGTGGGTGGATGGATGTATGGATGGGTGGGTGGATGGATGGATGGATGGTAGATAGATGGATGGGTGGATAGGTGGTGGGTGGATGGATGGATGGACAGATGGATGGTTAGATGGACTTGGATGGATGGAGGGATGGAGGGATGGATAAGTAGATGGATGGTTGGGTAGATGGATGAGTGGGTGGATGGGTGGATAGGTGGGTGGGTGGATGGGGTGGATGGATGGATGGATGGGTGGGTGGATGGATGGATGGATGGTAGATAGATGGATGGGTGGATAGGTGGTGGGTGGATGGATGGATGGATGGATGGACAGATGGATGGTTAGATGGACTGGTGAATGGATGGAGGGATGGAGGGATGGATAAGTGGATGGATGGTTGGGTAGATGGATGAGTGGGTGGATGGATGGATGGATGGGTGGATAGGTGGGTGGGTGGATGGGTGGGTGGATGGATGGATGGATAGATGGATGGATGGGTGGACTGATGCATTGTTGGTGGGCCCTCCTCCACTAGACCAATGGCAGTGGGGTTCTGGAAAGAGCTGGTGGCAGAAGCTGGCCCAGGAAGAGAGAAGGGTGACCTGGTTTCCAGCCTTTGTTGGTCATCCGAAAATTAGGCCTGCAATTCCTTGGGCCTGCAGTTACCCTGGGAAATGAGAATGTGGGAGTTGTGTTGCCTTTTCATTCCATATAGCCCCTGAGTTTTTCCCAAAGGATTTTAATGTCTCTGGTCCCTGAGACTGACCTCCTTCTCCTGGCACCCTCTGCTGTCACTGTTGGGCCCACCGTGCCCTCCTGTGGGATAGGGCACGTGCAGGCCAGAGCTCTCTGCTGAGCTTCTGTGATACAGCACACCAGGACCCAGAATTACTCTGAGTCCTGGAATAACCCTTGTTAAATACACATATTCCTCACGATCACCAGTATCATCATCCCTCTGGACAGATAAGGTGTGAGATTTAGTGTCCTGGGGTGTGACTCCAAAGAATGGAACACAAGAAAGATCTTAAAATCTGTAAGCTCATTAGGGGACTGGAAAGAGAAAGTATTTGGCCGCCGTGCTGTCCTCGGAGGGAGCCAGAGCACCAAGTGGTTATTCGGAGCCCTGGGAAAGAAAGGAGCATTTATCAAGCTTTTCTGTACAAAGTGCACTTCACAGACCCACAGTGGACCTGGGAAAATTCGTCTTTAGAGCATCCCAACCCAGAAAGCAGAGGGAGACCATGTTGGATATGTAGGATGCAGCGTCTGGGGTCTGCTCCGTAGGAGCAGGACAGCCGGATCCCACCTCGCCCAGCTCTGCGGACTCCGAGAAACGTATGTGACGTCCTGGGGTCTGGGCTCTCCTTTGCAGAAGGACAGGATAAAGCCAGGCACCCTCGGTGCTCCCAAAACATAAGCCTCCCTCAGAAACGTGATATCAGTGCCCACTGTACACAACCCCCCACCCCGGGGAGGGAAGCTCTGTCCTCTCCAGACAGACGCTGGCCCGGGCCTGTTGCCCTGGGATCAGGGGCAAGAACAGGGACATGGGGAGGCGGCACCCCCAGGGGCAGCCAGAGGGCTGGAGGGTGCCCCCCTCCCGTCTGGGTTCCATCAGGTTGAGAAGAGACGTCCCCAAACCAGGCCGTTGGCTAGGAAAAAGCCCAGGATCTCTGTAAGCGCAGCCCCACCCTTCCGGACCCAGATGGCTGACTGCTACCCCATCCATCAAACTCACTCTCAGGAACGGGGAAGATTCATTGTCCTGTGTCATCCGGGGCCACCCCGTGTCACCGTGTAATGGCCAGTCGGTCAGAGAAACAATAATTTTCATGCCATAAAAACTGAATTCCGTTTGTTCACTAAGAACGAATGCTGTTGATCAAGCGAAACCTATAAAAACCCCCGAGACAAAAGGCAAAGAATTAAGGCTGATGCGCAGGCTGCTGACAGGTCATGATTAGCACGTCCGCGGCCAGGGCGAGGGCGCAGCAGGCGAGGGGGGCCGGGGCTAGAGCCTCAGCAGAGGAAGGCAGCCTGGGCGTCTCCGGGAGCACAGCTCGTCGCTCCTCACACGGCCGCTGTCGGGCGTCTGGGAGGGGGCCCGCTGCGGCCTCGGTGCTCCTGGGAGGACGGTCCCGTCCGGGCGGGTCTGGGACAGAACGTAGTCGTGGGATGACACAATGCTGGAGCTGTTGGAGGGTGAACGTCAGCGGTGTGAGGCTCTGAGAAGCCACACGTCGGAGGCTGTACGAGCCAGACGGCCCTCAGCTAAGGGCGCGTCCCAATTGGGCCGCGGTGAAGCCGGGACCTGCGACAAGGAGACGAACGCCTCTGCCTTGGCGCCCAGGCACGCCGAGGCCCTGTCCGAGCGCCTCCCCCGGCCGGCTTCAGTGGGCACGGCGCTGGGAGGAGGTTCCCGGCCACCCACCCCCCGACATCTGGTGGAGAACCACATCGACGACACACGTGGAGGGGACGAGGATGGGAACGTGGGGGGCCCCAGCTAGCACCCCAGGTGCAGGCAAGAGTGAGGACACGTGCTGCTCATGGGGCAGGGTCCATAGGAGCCGCAGGGACACGGAGGAAGCTGATCCAAACCTTGGCGGCCCGGGAGGGGCTGCGAGCCCGCCGCTGCCGCAGGGCCTGGGACGGGGCCCTGGCAGCAGGGGCTCCTTGGAGGACCACCGGAGCCCAGCCTCATTCTCACCCCGGCAACGCGGGAACCAGGCACGGGCAGCAGGTGCCCAGCGGGTGTGGGGGGCCGGTGGCCTCGAGACAGCGAGCAGACGGAAGGTTCTGCGCGCCTGAGCCTCCGTCGTGCTCGGCGGCAAGAGGCCAGGTCAGGAGCCCGGGAGCGCGGTCAGCAACGTCATGGCCCCCCTTTCCAGATGGTGCCGCGTCACGTTCCTGGCTCTACCGCTGCCCTCCCACTCCGGGGACCGGGTGCGGCCACGCAGGACCCTGGGCACCGTATGTATAATTTCCCATGAATGTGCAGGGATTTCAAAATAAAAGTGTGTATGCATCTGTTCAAAGTGAGCTCTGCGGCCCTTACTCCTCCTAACACCGGGGCAAAAGGTTGGCAGACGGCCCTGGGTGTGTGGGGCGCGGTTCCTCACAGCAGGACCGCCTCCCAACCCGGTCCCAAAAGCTCTGTCCCCAAATGGGCCCCTTCCGGGAGGGTGCTGCGGGTGGGTGCCTTCTGCCTCCACCACCCTCGACGTCCGCTCAGCACCCACGAAGCCCCTCCAGGAGGCCAGGAGGCCCCAGCGCCCTCCGACGGCTGCCCGCTGAGAACCAGCCTCAGCACCGGCACTCGCACCCCGGCCTCTGCACGGCACCCCGCCTTCTGAGGTGGGGGAGCAGACTCCCCAGGAGCAGGGGTGTGAGCTCACACTCTTCCACACAGGCCAAGGGACCTCGGTGCGCCGTGCCCCACGACCTGGGAAGCAGGCACCTACCCTGCTCCCCGGGCCTGTGGGGCGTCCGTTCACTGAGGGAAGCGTTAGGGCGAGCAGCCTGTGGACGTGGACGTGGACGTGGGCTGCCCGCCCGCAGGGCCATGTGAGGACCAGGGGCCCCGAGCCGGATGGAAGCTGGCTCCAGGCGTGGCTGGAAGACACCATCCCACAGATGCTGCGTCCCGACGTGACTGGCCTCAAAGCACAGCAAGGGGCCAAGGCGACGAAACCTGGCCTCACGCCCTTCCCGGGTGCCAACAGCAGATCCCCGTGTGCGAGCATCGGAGACACATCCACAGACCAAACGACCCCTTGCGAGAGGCTCTGGGTCCTGCGAGTCGGCCTCTTTATCCCAGAATCGCTGGTTTCCAGCACGGCCCTGGTCACGCTGCACCCACAGCTGGGACGGGCGGAACAGCGCTTGTCCCCCACGTCCTCCGCTGTCCCCCTCCCTGCCAGCCAGGCCGCCAGTCTCACACGAGGTCAGCTCAGTGGGGTGCTGTCCCTCACTCAACACCTCGTCCCACCGTCTCCCGAATCCCCGAATCTCCCGTCCAGCCTCCTGCCCCCAATGGCACTGGATGGCTCCTAACTGAAATGATAGACAAGGACGGTTTCACTTCTAATTACGGAGAACAGGGCGATGCGCAGCTATACCAATAATGACGTCTCATGAGCAGCAACAGTTGCGTTTACGCTTTATTTGTGTAAGGCAGCACTGAAAATACATGAGGCCTTCACGGGCACATTTTCCACAACAAGCAGTCAACCCCAGTCCACACCACCTCCCCAGCAAAGCCAAACAAAGCCAACTTCTCCCTAACAGTCATCTTAAAATCACAACGGCTGCACTCATTTCTGGCTCTCACGCCCATGACGCGGCCGCAGATGCAAGTCCCTGGCACCCCCGATCCCACCCAGGCCCTGCCCGGGGCCCTCACCGCTGCGCCCCGTGAGCACGCGCTCGTGTTGAGGCGGAGAACGGCCCGGGCAGGGCGCGCGCAGGGAAGGTTAAGGCAGCGCAGGATCCAGTCAGTAGCAGAGGGTTAAGAAGCAGCTGATCATGCAAAGGCAGAAGCACGGAAACCGCACAGAATCTTGCCAGGAAAAAAAAAATGTTTGCAAAGGAGACAATGTTTACAGACGGAAACATTTCGTTCCGCCTCCTTGTTCATATCTTCTCGCGAGAGTGTGTGTGTAAACACCTCATCTGTTCTTCCCCGCGTGACCCAAACTATGACCCAGAGATGGCATTTACCCAACAAAATTCTGTAGGATCCTGTGAATGTGCTAAGAAGAATTAAGGGTCCAAGAAAAAAAAAGATGGGATTTAGCAAAAATTAAACAATATTTGAAGTCAAGTTCAGGCTAGAGATTAAAACTACGATAAATGTAAGGAATGACTTTACATCTAAAGTGATTCACCCCTGGGGCCCCCCCAGGATGTGGCCAGGCCACCCTGCAGCGCTGCTTGGAGGTCTAGCCCGCCCCCCGGTCTGAAGGACGAGCACCCTGGAGGCCGTGACCCGATGCACGATGCCGCTCGGTCACCCTGCCCTTAACTACGTCCTGGCTCCCAGAAATCTACCGCCACGAAGAAAGAAAGTCATTCCGAGAACACACTCCGTTATCTGCCGGCACCCCTCACACCCCTAACGCTAGAAGTATCTCACAAGTTGGTGTCGCGGCTGAGCAGCTGCAAAGAAGGCGCTGGGTCCTTAACCACTCGAGGAGACGCAATCGGATTTAGTGCCGGGAGGAGCGAGGGCAGTCGGGCAGGCTCCACACCACCCATGCCTCCGCCACCCGCGACCGTCGCTCCCGTCTCCCGCCGCCCCTGCGCCAACTGAGGCGTCCTCCGCATGCCCGTGCTGAGAAGGTGTGGTCTCGGGACAGGGGCAAAGCAGGCGCCGCTAGCTAACACGCACTACCGCACGGAGCCGGCCTGGGCGCCGCCTCGGGCAGCGCGAGCGAGGCTGCAGTCCGTCTAGTGGTTGCCTTTGGTCGACTTCTTCTTCTTGGATTCCTCTCTCTGCTTCTGCTTCTTCCTCTTGCCACCTTCTTTGAATCCTAAGGAAACACGGCTCGTGAAACACTGTGCAGAACAGCGGCTGCTTCCCCACTAAGAGGCAAACATGTTTCCAAATACTCCCCCGTGTTTAAAAAAAGAAAAAAAAAAGACACAATAGAGTCAGGTCTCTTCACTTCTCTCCAGGCCACACCTGAAGCTCAACAAAACCACCGGCTGCCTCGTTCCACCGCACAGTGCGGCCTCTGACCGATTCAAAGAGCGCCACAGCCATGCAGGGGGCGGGCGTTCAGCCCACGCTCCCCTCTGCTCACCTTCGACAGCCCCACCCGGGGCCCCCACGAGACCCTGCACCCCTGCGCGGCCCCCGCAACCCACCGGGCAGGGCGGACTCCGCCCCAGGGATGGGCTCCCTGCAGCCCTGGCCAGACGGGAGTCCCGTCCGCAGGGGCGAGCCCGGCTGTGGGCTCATTTCCACGGGTTCTGGGCTGTTCATTCCCATTCCTCATCTGAGGATGAGAACCTTCCATTTGCCCTGTGCCGTGGGCTTAACGTGTGCTTGGCTGCAGGTGAATGCACACCACCTCACCCTCTGGAGAGCCCTTCAGTTCTGCAGAAATAACTCAGGACCTTGTGCGCAATCGGTCCAAACGATGTGGTGGAAGAAGAGCAAGCCGGCACACGGGCTGGATGCAGATTTCAGGTAACAAGGCTGTATTTAAACGGCCTGACTGGACAGGACGAGGGACAGAACCAGCCCGATCACTGTGGGACTGGGCCTTAACACCGTCAGGCCCCTGAACCTGCCCGAAGACCATGTGAAAGCACTCTCGGGATTTTAAAGGACACGGCCACATCCTGGAGCACCCTCTCCCGTCCAGATGGGGTTGACACAGTCTGTCGGCAGACGCCACGGGGGCACGACGCTCGTCCTTTGCAGAACCACAATCCCAGGCACGAGGGTCCTCTGTCATTTAGATGGGGGCCGACAGCCAACACACAAGGAGCCCCCGACACGTGCCCCAGGCTTGGCTCAACCACCTGCTGCCAGGGGGCCGCCTCCGAGGGCAGTCTACTCACCCCGTGACAGCACTGAAGGAGACCACACGCGCCTCAGGAACACCAGGCCTCAGAGCCACTTAGTCCTCCCTCGAGTGACGCGGGAGGCCCTGTGCTCCCCAGTCCTTCTCCGCCTTCCCTGCAGCCCGTGCACCTGAGGTTCCACGCAACCTGCGTGTCCCACCTGGGGCTGTTATACCTGCCAGACACCCAGGGCCGTGTGTGTAGGAAGCTGCATCGGAGTTTTCAACGGGAGGGAGAAGACAAAGGGCTAACCCACTCGGCAGGGCAAGGCTGAGGGCAGGCAGAGGGCTCACCACAGCTGCAGCCGGTGGCAAATCCAGGGAACGGGCCCCAATGGCCATGATCGAGGGGCGCGGTAGAAGAACAGCCTCTGAGGCATCAAACAGGGAACCAGAGCTAGTCTGGGGACGTGTCGGTGGGTCCATTACTGGACGTGATTACACGTAGGAGGCACAACGAGGTGACACCAAATGGCCCCATTCGGTCCCAGGTGGGTCCCAGGCCGGCCGTGAGTGGCCAGCAACGGCCAGTGGCTTTGAAGGAACACACAGGGAGTGGGGTTCAGAGGCCTCACGTGCGATTGTCTGGAGGCTCAGCCGACTGTGGGCGTCACTTCTTAGAGGGGAGGACGGCCTCCCCTCCCCACACCAGACTCAATTACATGTAAAATAACCTGAGAAAAAAAAGAAAAACCTGCTAACCTACTACGGAGGGACAGATCTTTCCCGTCCCTGAGGCTCGGGACGCCGGTCAGAGCAAGGTGACAGAAGTCCTGTCCCCCCTCTACGCTCCCTGTGCCGTCCGAGCAGGCTTTGCTGAGCTGTTGACTTCCAGGCTCGATGATGACAACCGAGCCTGAGGGAGCAGAAGGCCCCAGAGGAAGACGGGGCGGCCGTGGGGCCAGCTGCTGAGGCCCCTGACCCTGTCCTGCCTCCGAGACCCGACCTCCATGGCCACCACTGCAGTCATGAAATCCTAACACCTGACCCAGAAGGGACCCTGGGCACACACGGGGCAGAGCTGGACTCGGTGCTGCCTGGCCCCAGCCCCTCCCCCAGAGAGCACCTGCTGTCACAGCGCACCGCACTCAAAGTCCCCAGTAACATGTCACTTCTACCACGAGGCTCTGTTAAGATGACAACAGAAAAATAACTTGGGACAAACTAAAGGAATTTCAGCACAAATGACAAGATTCTGGGGGTGCGGAGCCGCTGCCCTTGTGACCCAGCTGACGTGTCCCACCCGTGCATCTGGGGCACGTGAGGGACACTGACCAGCCCGAGGCTACAGACCGGGCCCGAGGCCTCGTGGCCCCAGGACCCTGCTCAGGCACTGGCCGCAACCACCCCTCCTGCCGGTTCCTTCAAAGACAGGGGCCAACGGCCAGCAGAGCCGAGCTGCCCGGGGCTCTCCAGTCACTACGGAGGCAAGTTCCCAGAGCTGACCGAGAAAAACAAGTTTAATTTACCCCGACAGCCAAGTCTGTCTGCAGGAACTCCAACAGTGGAGGGAGCCAAGGGCCTGGTGCTCGGACAGGGCCCAGGGCAGAGGCTCCACAGGGACCGGCCGTGGGTGCCCCTAAAAGCACGCGACCCCATTCCCAGGTCCCCCCCGGCCCCACCCAAGCCACACCTGTGGCACAAACCTCGAGGGGTGTCCGAACCAACCCAAATCCACCTGCTCTGCCACCCAGCAGGGCAGCACCAAAGCAAGTTTTCACCAAGGCCTCCCCCGCCAAAGACAAAGCGGTAGCGTGATTCGGATGGTAAGGATCTAAAGCTGCAGGACAACAGGATGGCAGCGCAGGGCCGGGACTCCGAAGAGCCCTGGGACTCAGAGGTCGACGCCCGGGGCATCCAGGTGAGGCGGGCGCTGCTGGGCTCTGCGGGGCGGCAGGCACATGGGGTCCGTAGTAAAGCAGAATCACTGGGATAGTCTCTGAAAGTATCTGCGTTCTGGGACAAAGCATACGAGAGAAAGGGGCCTGCCCGCCACCCGGAGTTCCTGCACGGCTGGTGCATTCACAGAACGGCCGCCCGGCCGTGTCCGCGCCTCCTCGCTGGTCGGACGCCCCTCACCAGGACCACCAGGCGGGCTGCAGCCAGGCCGGACGGCTCGCACTAAGGATCCCTCACAGAAGGAAACGTTTTAAAGCCCCGTGCGTTCTTAGCAGAGAAGCATGTTAGGTATGTAAATTAGTATCATTAAAAAGACCGACTTCAAAAGCTGCCCCAAGCGGCCAGCAGCGTGGACGCCAGGCAGCCAAGCCGCGGCCCCCCTCTGCACTCCGCAAGGCCAAGCGCCCGCAGCGGCCCTGGCTCACGCGCTTCCTTCAAACCCCACGCGCAGAAAAAAACAAAGTTAAAGGACCAATTCTATTCTTTCAGTCGTGAATTCTTCTTCACGTCGAGTACCTTTAATTTTCCTTCTCAACAGTTCCATGTTCCTGACGCACCCAGTCTGTGCGGGGTCCACACATGAAAAGCACGAACCCTCTCTCAACACTGCACTCGGACTGTGTCCAGGTGACGCACGGTGCCAAGAGCACGGCAGGGGGCGGGACGGGAGCCGGGAACGCAGCGCAGTGGCCCGTGAACGGCCACCCCAGCCGGTCAAGACCGCGCCGCCTGCCACCACCCCCTGCTCCGCGGTCGCCAACCCCCCCACCCGCCGAGCACAGACACCGCCACTCCCCACGCTGCACGGGACCCTGACCTGGATCCCGAGTCTTTCGGCTGTGCCGGCCACGTGGGAAACCCTCCCAGGAGCACTCAACTCAGAGTCCGGAAGCACAGCTGAGGTGAGAGCGCGCCCTCAGCCCAGAATCATCACTTCCCAGAGCTGCCAGGCCGCCTCCATGCCGCACGGCCACGGCGCGCTCCCAGGGGCCACTCCGTCTAGTGGCTGTTCCGGCGTGGAGGCGCCCGGGGACCAAGTTCCTTCCTGTTCGCTCGTTCTTAAGAAGAATCACTTGGAAGCGCGGCGCCTCCAGACTACGCGGGAGAACACAGGCTGTCCGGCCAGGGGCAGCGTCCAGGTGTCCCCAGACGAGGGCTCATGCGGAGCTCTGGGGAGTCTGCTGGGAGGAGCCCCAGCCCCCCTTTATTACTGGCTGGCACCAGGACCTGCAACACTGGACCAAGAGAGCTGGAAATGGTTTATGCAGGGAAGCGAAGCCTTCTGCTGGCGGGAGGGAGACCCTGAGGGTGACAGTCTGACTAGCCTGGAGGACGTTCACCAGCTTTGCGTCCCAATTTGCGATTTTGTGCCACATTCTTTTCTCAGTCTGTTAACTCTTCCTTTGCGGCAGCTTAGAAAGTCAGCCGAAGTGTCCGGCACGAGCTCACTATGCATCTGTATGAGACTCAGGTCTTGAATTTCTTGACTTAACCCTGACGCTCTTTTCAAGCCCGCATTACTCATGGTGAGTCAACAGCATCAGAACCTGCCCCCCCACCCCCCAAAGGTGTTCTGGCCGTCCCGACCCCATCAGGGAGGGGCTACACTCCGGGAATACAAGGCAAGCCTTTAAGCCTCCCAACAGCCAAGGAAAAGGGGCTGGATGTCCATCCCCCTCCTCTTTTGTCTAAGACTTGTGCCAGGGTCAAAAACATGCCTGGAGGGGACCTGATGGTAGAAACTGACAAAACCATGAGATTTCAGGGAGAAGAATGAAAAACCCTAGTATCCCAGGATTCTCCAGCAGGGCTAATTTATGCTGCACTTGGCAGGTGTAGTCTCCGAGGATCTAGAGCAAACAAGCAGCTTCGCCCGGGAAGCACGGGTCTCGCTCTGAACTTGGGATCTGCCCTTCGGACCCGCTCTGCTGGTGATGGTCCCACGTCCTGCCCCAGAAGCCTGGCTGTCTGGCGAATAAGACTCCACCAGGGAGGCCCATCTCTGCACACCTGATTCTTGGGAACTGGGATATTCCAACCCAGTACGTAGGTTTATGGGATCCTTCCAACCAGACAGACAAAGCTCCTTAAAAATCACTGTTCAAACGGTGATCTGTTCAAGCAAACGGAGTCTACGACCCTGCCCCCTGCCACGGCCCCTGACTGCCACACTGCCCCCTGCCCAAAGACCACTCGGTACCAAGAGCTGACAACCAATGCTGGGAAAATGTCCACATGCCCATTCAAGGCAGAGTGAGTTCTTTCCGAATTCATACAGCTCTTCCAACAACCTCCACGTTCCATTCAATTACACAGGAAAAGGCTAACGTCTCCCAACAGTCCACCCGTTTGCGTTAGCACCACTCCGGGCCAGAGCTGGGGGCCACGTGTCCACAGCCCCGAGTGCACTCTGTGCCGTGGTTCGAAGCCCCAGACACCCATGGTCAAGTGGGCGCCACATTCCTTCTGTCCTCTGCAAAACCCTACCAAGCACCTCCGCTTGACTGAGGACGACCAGGAGGAGCTGCGAGGGACCAACTGCCCGATAGCAAGTTCTGGGGCAGGAAGGGCCCCAACCTCATCCTCCTAATGCCCAGCTGCAATGCTGTGTTCTGCGGAGGCCCACAGAATGAGCTTCGCGCGTACCCTGACGTCACCCTGACACAGGGGACCGAGGACGGATGTCTTCATCTACCACATAGCACGCTACGGTCACTGTGGCGGCTCCCAGTGGCGACAACCAGGATGGGCACAAATGTGTCACGCGAATGAATAATTCAAACTCATCTGATGCCAGGCTGCAGAACGCAGGTCAAAGCTATGGCACAGCCATCTCTCAGAAATGACCCAGAACTTTCTATGGGGAATTCCCTTCAAAGACCCATCTGGGCTCCATAAGAAATTACAAGCCAAGAAGCTGGAGGAAGGCAGAGCCAGGGCCCTGGAGCAACGGGGTCGTGATCACCCAGCGCGTCCAGAGGCCACAGAGGAAACACTACAGCTCCACCTGGGAGGAAGGCGGCAACAAGGTGTCCAGGAGGGGTGCTCCGTTCTATTTTTAACCAAGCGCAAGTGAAGGCACGAGGCTAGGAAGCAAATGCAGAACATTCCATCACCGAGACTGCAAGGGGCCCACAGTTTAGTGAGCGGCTCGGAGCATGTGGCCCGTCCAAGTTGCAAGAACTCAAGCACTAAGTGCAAAGTGACAAAAAGGAACATTCAAAGTAGAAGCAGCACCTGTCATCCTCTGCCCAAGACAACACACCGCATACCATCGTGGAAGACTGGCACCCCGTTTTAATTGGGGGATCTCCCGGGAGGGGAGCCGAGAGCAAGGGGCCTCCTCCCGCCGCCACCATGCTCTGAGCAGCCTCTCGCGGGCCCCCGCCCCGCCCCGCCCCGCTCAGGTCAGGACACAGCACAGGAGTGATTTCGGTCCTCTCTGGTCTCGGGAGGGAAGGGAGCCGTCCCCTCCGGGAAGCTCCACATCGGTTTCCCTTTGCACACCTGCAGAGAGCACGGAGGGGTCCCAGGGGCTGCTGGTGGCCCGCTGGTTGCCTGGCTCGTCCTCCTCTTCACGCGTGTGGAGAGACTCGGGTTTGGGCAGGGAGGCCGGCCTGTGTGGCCTCGTTGAGTGGCCACTGGTGCTGGTGGGCTGGGCAGGCAGCGCACTCTGACCTCTGCGCCGGCACTCCTCCAGGAGAGCGTCCTCATCGGCCACACCTGCAAGCACAGGACGGGGTGGGCGTGAGCTCGCACTGCTCCTCTCTCCACCTGTCCTGGGGGCCCCCGCGCCCCTGCAGGAGGAGAAGGAAGACGCTGAGTCCACCACCTGTGCTATCTGGGCCTGACCCTAACCTTCAGAGACAGGGGCTTGGGACAGGCCCAGGACACAGCTGCTCGTGCCCGCCCCTGCACACACACACACACACACACACACGCGGGCGACTTCACGCGTTGTCAGAGCGCGAGTCCTACTGAAATCCGTCAGGGGCGAGGCCGCCCACGAAAATTTGTCAAAACTGACCCAGCGGTTATCACCCTGCAAGGAAAGGGCTCCAGATGCAGCCTCCCATCGCGTTCCCGGGCAGCCTGAATTCTAGAACCTGTCCATCTAAGGGGAGGAGGGGTTGGCTGGCCAGGAGGTGGGGGCCTGACGCCCGTGTCCCCGCCCGCGCGGGTCATCTGTCACCCCAGAGACACACCCAAGATGGGACAGTCCTCTCAACGTTGTGTGTCTACTGGTCTTCAAACAATAGAAAGCAGTTTTGCACATTAGATAAACACTAGGAATTAAATCAGAAAACAACTTCTAATCGTCACTGAATGATCTCAAATTTCATTCTCTGAAGGCTCTTGATGACCAGGCGCGCAGGTGGAGAGAAAGGTGCCGTATGAAGCCAGAAGCGATGCTGTCACACCCCCATCTCAGGGAACAACGGGCCCGGGGGCGTTCCCCTCCCCTGGAGGGAGGTGGGGGCGTCCGCTATCCAGGGCCCAACAGTCATCAGATGCCCAGCCAGCCAGCGCACAGAACCCGAGCCCCAAGAAGTGCATGAGGGACCACCTCCCTCCAAGTGTGACCTCCAGCGTGCACAGAGCGTGGACTGTCCCGTCCCCGCCTTCCCCGTCGGAGCCTCAGGTGTCAGCACTCGGCTCATTCACACCAGGTGCAGGCTCAGCGCGGGCAAGACAGAGTGCCCACCTAGATCACTCGGAGGGCGCGAAAGCCCTTCTCACGGGTCAACCTCCGAGCCACAAGCACCGACCCCAACCCAGGCGTGACCTCTGCCCTCGCACCAGAGTCATGGCCACACTGGTGAGAGGCGGCGGACTCCATGGTCCCAGCACCCACGCCAAGCACAGAAACTGCTGGAGAAATAGAAGTCCTGCACAGCCTGCATCGTGCGACTGGCATTTTAGAGGTTTTCCAAAGTGAGTCTCTGGTTCCTCAAAGAGCCTGAAAATCCCCCACAGCTCCGGACACCCTGGGCGCAACACACGTGCTCCGTGCTTTCCGGCACTCGGACCCCCCAGCCCCGCAGCGAGGCCGGGCTAAGGGCCAGCGTCCCGTTCTCTCCCGGCTACCATGCTCATGTCCCACATGCTGGCCGAAACGGAAATGTTCGTTTTGGAGCCGATTAACCAGGCAGACCATCACAGGGCGAGGGAACGCTCGGCGGTCCCGTGCACGTGGCCCGGACAGACATTTTCAGTGAGGACCTCTGACCCACTGAGGGTTTCTCAGAATCAGATCCAATGACGAGAGGACACGGATACCCCAGGCCTGGCAGGCACATCCGTCTGGTGCAGGTGCCTCAACCAAGGACCACCCCGTGTCTGCAGCAGGAATGCGCCCATGAGCGGGGCCGAGGTCGCGGTTGGGGGAGAACTCGAGGGGAGCCCACCTCTCGGGGGGTCTGTGGTCTGATTATGTGGCCTTGTGTTGTTTTTGGCAAATAAAACAGAAGTATCACTCCCAAATACACGGTGTAAGCCCCAAGGAGCTGGCAACAAGTAGTAACTGCTATGTGGTGACCTGACTTCAAAGCCTGCATCTGCAGAGGGGAGTGGAGAAGGGCGGGGAGCCAGGACCTCGGTGTCTGTAGGCGTCCCGGCTGCGAGCCACCCTCAGGGAGGGGCCTGTGGCCGCGGCACCCAAGGGGACACCACGATCAGCTCTGTGCCCTGAGCGTCAAGGCACGTGCTCAGCTTCTCTCCACCTTGGAAGGAGGCAGGAAACTTCCGAGGGCAAACGGGCCACCCCTCCGGGCCCCACACCACCACACCTCGTAATCAACAGTGGAACACAGAAGAAAATATCAGCACGAGTTCAGAACATGGTCAGTACCTCTCCGTGTGGGCTTGGCTTTTTGAGTGGCTGGCCTGGACGTGGCGGAGGAGGACGGGGGCACGTGGGGGGAGTCGCGCCCTTCCCAGCTTACTTACCCCAGTTCAGGAACACTCGGATCCGAGTCTCTCCCTGCCAGCCGTTCCGGCACACGCCGAAGAGGAGGTGGCCTTTTCCCTGCCACCTCCACAAGCACCTGCAGCCACCATGGCCAAGGACCACCCCCCATGGAAGAGCAGTGAACTGGTCTGGGCACAGACCACTGGCCTCACTTCCGTCACTTACGGTGCAGAGAAGGTGGGCGTCTGCTGCTGGACACAGGCCCCCACGAGCTAGAAGGCCACCACGGGGCCACACGAGCCACCATGTGGGGAAGAAGCACCAGGACTGGGCCGTCCTACCTACCCCCGGTTCTCGCTGCACTAAACCACCTGCTCGCCCCAGGCCCAGGACGGGCACAAACACCGGCTTTCAAGGCCGCGTCATGTCCTGGGTTTGCTGTGTGGTTAGAAACCAGAAGTCTCTAAGATATTAAGCTCGACGATAGTCTGAGAATGCCTTGAATATGCAAAGACAGAAAACAGTTGCACGCTGAAGGTTTCCATCCACTCCAGACTCTGGGCGAAGGTGCCACGTCTCCCACACCTCTCGGATCCGGACACACTCAGGGCGCAGGAGGCAAGCATGTCCCTGACTCCAGGACTGCACAGGAAGCCGGAGTCCTGCAGGGGGTCCCAGGCCCCAAGCGCCCAAGCCTGCCCACTGGCTCTGGCCAGAGGCTCAGTGCCTGTCCTCCGTCTCCCCACACCCAACCTCCTGGGCAAATCCTAGTGCCCCTGCAGCTCAGGCCTCTCGCCCACGAGGCTCCTTCCCTCGAGCCCCGCTGCAGAGGCCTTGCAGCAGGAATTACCGCGTGATCAGGGTGGGTGGCCGGGGCTGAGCGCTAGGCTGTCAGGTCCACAGTGCCCCTTTCAGAAATAGTGGAAGGACACACAGCTGAGCACCTACTGTCCCACACGTCGCTTTCTTCCTGATTTACACGGTCGACCCTTACGGGGGACACAGTGACCTCTATGCTCCCCCAGGCCCGCCATGCCACCGAGAGCTCCTCAGGTCTGGAGCAGGAACAATCAGGTCACTGACCCCACAGAGTTCCCACAAAACCTAGCAGTATCTCAAGAACAAGGAAAAATGATTCAGGGAAAGGAGATAAAGGACGGAAATGAGAAGCGAAGATTAAATCGCGGTCTTACCCCAAATCTTCGCTGGATACTTTCTGCAAGGGCTCAGTCCACACGTGCACATTCAAAGCACTCACTGAGCCACTAAATGTGTGGTATGCTCGCAGGCGTTGACAAGGTTATGAAACGGGGGGCCACCACCCTCACCCTGATGGCTGCACGTACGCCTGAGTTTGAGGAAAGGGTGCTGGTTTCAGGAAGAATGAGGGTTACGATGGACTGGACCGTTTGGAACCCCAGGGCAACGCCATCGCTTCCGAGTCGGAGCCTCTGGTCCTCACCATGAGGCGGGAAGCCTGCCTGCGCCCCCCAGGCTGAGCACCGGGCTGCAGACTCCACGTGCCAGGGCCTGAGCCGCCCCCCACCGCGCCCCCCACCGCAGCAGAGCCTCGGGGAGGGGGAGGGGGAAGGGGAGGGGACTCGACATGGAAAGGAGAGGGAGAAGCCTCTGGACCGAGGACGTCCCGCACCCCGAGTCAGAATGGACTGCGGCACAAAGGGTCAGGTCAACCGGTCGTCAGGACCCACTGCTCCGGCCTCATGGTGCATTTTTGCGGAAGAGGGAGCTTCTGAGGGGGGTGAGTACCGCGGGACTGGAACTGGCTTTGCCTCACCTCAACCTCAGAGCAGTCTTGCCGACCTTCCGGAGCACCAGACTCCGCGCGCCCCGCCCCCCCACCCCCCAACCCAGCCCATCTTCAGAGCCTCTGTTCTGCCTTCGGTTCCCGCCAAAGCCCCGGGACGCGGCAGCGCCGGGTCGGAAACACTCCCGCTGCCGTCTCAGGGCCGCACCGCTGGGCGAGAGTGTCTGCGGGGAACTCGCCCGAGCAACGCCCACCAGCACCTCACGAAGCCACGGGGTGCCCGGGTGCCCGGTGTGACTTACAGCTTTCTGAATTAAAACCAGACTGACCACGGCCGCCCCTACCTCATCCCCTACACCCACGGTCACACCTGAGAAGTCGCAGTTTGCTGCTTTCCACAGCCTTTTCCCAGGTCCTGTCCGACTTCGCGAATTACTAGACCCTTGCTCTTCTATGGCACTTCCTGCTGTTCCGACGATTTGTTGACCGCTTTGTACTGTATGAAGGCAATACAGAACACAAATACCTGGAAAAAAGTAGTCCCCTCTAGTTCTACAACCCACCCAGAACTTACTACCTCGGTGTGATTTCAGCAAGCGTTTTCTCCTGCGTGTGAATTAACTGAACTTCATGTTGCTTACAAGAATCCGAGCACCTTTTTCATTCGGAAAACCAAATATACCAGCAACGGTCCTGCCCTGCAGCACCAAGTTATAAAATTTAAAAACAAAAACAGGGTCTGCAGTGTCCGAGCCAAAGTACGCTGAGATCATCGAGAAGCTATGAAAGGAATGCTCAGCAGCTGCCCCGCGCGCACTGCCGACCGTCAGATTGCCTCCGTTCTTTCCCCAAATGGAGTCCAGATACAGTGAGTGCACTCTGGCCTGATAATATGCAAATGAAAACAAACTTCCGTAGATAAAAACAGAATCCCTTTTCCCAAATAAGTACAATCCAAGAGGCCTTGGTTGTGGCTGCTGTTCCCGGGCAGGGGCGCCGGCAAGGCGGGGGGTGCAAATCCCTACTTACTCAAGTCATGACCACCACCAACACAATGCGAGATGACACAAACACCCAAAAATGCACCACTGGCCCATCAGAAGGTTCACTCAAACCTCAGGGCCCGGTCTGTGCCAGGCACTGCAGACCGGCGTGGGGCAGGGCTCCTGTTCTCACAGATGCAGTAGACGGGACACCCACGCACAGAACACGGTGCCACGGTGAGGTCCGCGCCACCCACCTCGTGCTCAGCACATCCACAGCATGCAGGACCAACGGCGAGTGGGCAGCTCCCCCAAAGGGGACAAAACGGGACATGGGAACAGCACAGGGAGCGGCACGGACCAGGATGTGCCTGGGACGTAGGACAGAGCGGCCATGGAGAGGCCTGGGACAGGAACAGGAAAACACAGGCACCACACAGATCCTGAAATGTCTCTTAAGCCGACAGGGTCCCTGAGCGGTTTTCAACAAGGCAACGACTCGATTCCAGCCAGCAGTTGGTGGACACGTGACACAGGGACACCACGCAAGCTGGACTGGGAAGGCAGACCGGCTCATTAAGGGAGACAAGGACTAGTTCTCCAAGTAACCGGACACAGGGAAAGCACACCATGGCTGGTTACATGAAAGGAAACCAAGTCACAGTGGGGCCCAAGCCCAGGCAGAGAGGGGCTGCAGTGCTGGGAGCAGGTGCGTGGAACCCCGATCTGGGGTGAAGGCCAGGGAGGGGCCACGACAAAGCAGCCTACAAGGAAGCTGGGCCCTGAGCCCCAGAGCTGCTGGCTTCCCCACCAGTACTTCAGCTGAAACCGAGGACGGAGCTCCTTCACCTGGTCCCGGGGCGCTGCACCGCGCCTCCACGACATGGCCACCATACACGACCACCTCTCCCCCAGCCGGGCCTGGCCGACTGCACATCTCCCGGGGCTGGCAGGCAGGGGTGGGTCCTCAATGGGCCTCTGTTAAGACCTCAAAGGCCTCTGTGTGGCGTAGGCCTAATGGTGTTAGAGACCGTGCAGCCTGGCAACCTCCCGACAGACACAGGGCCACAGCCACGGCCCAGGACACTTCCTGAAGCAGGAGGGCCTCCCGGGGAAACCCCACCCGGCACAGCACCTGGGACGGACCGTGCGGACTGGCTGGGGGGACCGGGCTGGATCCCGCTTACCCCGCGGCACCTGCAGAAAGTGTTACGGCGGCAGTGAGGCCAAGGACGCCTGGAACACGGGGCCATCACGTGTCCTGGGGCGTCCGGTTGGCTTGAGCACAATCCTAACCGGAAAAGGAAGAGAGCAGAGGCACACTAGCCAGAGCTTCATCTTCTCGTCTGTGGCTTGCATCGGCTTTATCTCAAGTCACTGGGCCTCCCTCCCGGGACTGGCACCATCCTGTGACGAGGGCTCACGTTTGATGCCTCACTGGTAGCAGGAGGCTGCTGACCCCCCACGTACAACCCAAAGGCCGCCAAGGACGGAGCGGAAAGTGGAAGGACACCAGCACACAGCCCCCCGGCCCCCCGAGGTCCCTGCAGCGAACCTGGCGGAGGTCTCAGGGCCACACAGCCCTACCCCAGCTGCAGCAGGGCCTCGAGAGGACAGGACCCGCGTGGGCGTGGGGAGAGGGGAGGAAAATGCCACCTGAACTGTGAATGGAGCCCTTGTGCCCCGAGCGGGCTGGGCTGCCGGGCCTGCTTGCTTGGCCCACGGTCCTCGGTAACCCCAGCTCCAAAGCAGGACTTCGTGGAGACAGAGAACAGCTGAGGTAATTAACAGCAACGGAAATGAATCTTGAGAAGACCCATCGTAAAGCAGAAGAAACATTCTAGTTCCACAGGTTTGCATATTCATAAAATCTGATTTTTTCTAGTTTCTTCTCAATGACTGCGTCTTCTATGAAACACTGACATCTGTTAAATCTTTCAAAAACCTCTTTCAGATGAAGCAAAGCATGTGCCAAGGACCTGCTGCAGCTGTCTGAATCAGAACCACACACCGGCAGTAACCCGGAGCCTGCGCTCCCCCCGCCCCCGCCCACGGAAAAGGCACACAGCGCCGGCAGGTTCCTCCGGGTGCACCATCGCGACGCCAGGGAACCCAGAGCTCAGCCCCCGTGTCCGCTCAACACCAGCAGTGAGCACCACTCACTAGCACCATTCCCATGAAATTTTCTTCAAAAGAGAATTTAACAGAAAACTAGGGGACACATTAAAACTCCGTGAGGACACAGAGAATCGTGCGTGTTGGAGCCTCTGTCTGTCCCAGCACTCTGAAGGCGCCTCTCGCCAGCCGGTCGGCCCCAGACCACGCTGCGCAGACAGCGGGCTGCTTCGATTCCACTTCCGACCCCGCTGTGGCCAGTGGGAAGGCCCGCGGCTGGGCAATGGAGCGCGCTCTCGTGAGTTAGGGGCCAAGGTATCCTCTCTTTAAAAATCCGTCCCTAACAAAGTTATTCACCGTAGCAGTATCCTAATGAGCGATCTCAAAAAAAAATCCAAAGGCAAATTACTAAGAATTAAGTCATATTTCACAGTGGGGAAAGGACAGAACTGCCATTCATATAGGAAAATAAAAATTAGACTCCATACTTCACTTGGAAAATTTAGATGGATTAACATTTTAAACGTTTTTAGAAGGTAAATAAATAGGGACAGAAATAACCAAACCAAGAGAGGAAAAAAACCCAGCAGAATAAAGTTCACAGAATCGACTAGGTAAAAACTTGCAGTTTTTGAGCCCTTCATCCCAAACAACAGGTGTTTCGTATCTTCTAGGCCATGTTTTGAATGGAAATAAAAACACAACAGCCTTAAAAACCAACAGAAATGAAGAACGTTTTATACGTTGAACTCAGAATTTTAAAAACTCCCATTTGTGAACAAAAAGGCTGTAAATATTCAAAGTGCAACTAACAAAGAGAATAGGAAGAAAAACGATGAAAATTGGATAACCTGTCAATAGGAAAGTACTAAAAGCTAGTGTTTCCAGAAAGAACAGATGCAAGGAGAGAAGGAACTCTCACCAGAGTGACTGACGCCTCCTGAGCCTCGACGGACGGCCATGCTCCCTGGAAACACAAAGTGCTCAACCGACAAGGAGAAAAACCAAACCAGGAACAGCAGAAAACTGTGAAGGTATCAGTAACTGGAAAACATGCCAAGACTAGAGGACTTCGCCGGCAAGGCGCCTCTCCTCCTGGGGACAGAGAGCACAGAAGGCACCCCAGTGAAACAAAGATCCGGGCCAGACCCTCCCGCACACTCGGGAGCCCCAGGGACTTCAAGTCAGAGAACCCAGCATCGCCACCCAGCTTTCTCCTTCAACAGGAAGAGAAAGCTGCAGCCAAGCACATAATCCCAGAAGTCAACTACTAAAACCAGACTACTGAGAACAAGAGGAAAAACCCCTACTATCAGTATTAATGATTGGGTAAGAAAAAATGGGGGAGGGAGAGATAGGCGAAAACTAGTAGGGCTATCTAGCTATAAAAAATTGATACTTTGAAAAAAAAAAGAGTAAGCCAAGGGGTGCCTGGGTGGCTCAGTCAGTTGAGCATCTGACTCTTGGTTTCGGCTCAGGTCATGATCTCAAGGTCCTGGGATGGAGCCCCACGTCAGGCTCCCTGCTCAGTGGGGAGTCTGCTTCTCCCTCTCCCTCTGCACCTCCCTCCTGCTCGTGCTCGCTCCTCTCTCTGCACTCTCTCTCTCTCAAAATCTTTTTAAAAAAATTCTCTCCCTCTTCCTCTGCCCTTCCCCGCCTCTAAAAAAAATAAAAACAGAGTAAGCCAAAAGTACAGTGAAGCAACTGGATAAAAAGGAATATAAAAACTTACTTTCTCACTCAGGTATACCCAATAGCCAGTTAGTAAAGGAAATCAGGTAAGCGTGGGTACCTGGAGCCGACTGTGCCTTTCATTTCGAAGCATTAGGAGCACCCAAGATGGGTTTGAGAACAAGCTGCCCTTTCCGGCAACCACTACAACCAACACAGGGTGATCCTGGCATAAAATAAGACCAAAGAACAAAAGGAGAGAGGAGTCCTGAAACAGCTGTATGTCTGACGCAAATGTACAAGAGGAACACGGAAAGACATTTGGGAGAAAGTCAGATGTTTTCAGCACAAATAGTCCACGTAAATTAAAGAAACAAAGAGACAAATATGTGTCAACATACAAGAAAATGAGACAAAACTTGGCTGTGGCAGATGTAGGATATTAAACCAAAGGTCAAACAAAGCCACTTTTCTGGAGAAGATCCTAAGACGACCACACAGTAAGTCCAATGAACAAATGACCACTGCAAAGGGCCATCCCCTCCACAGAGCAGGCAATGGACAAAGACCCCGCCGTGACATGCACCTACGGGACCCCGGAACTGGGAGAAACACGTTATGCTCCAGCTAACCCCAGCAAACAAGATGCTCCACCCAATTAATTAACCAAAGAAATGTCCAGTTTAGAAATCACTGAGTCTTCACAAGTTATGTGAGGAATCCATTGTTGACGGGGAAGTATTCTTTGTGGAAAGTGATGTCAATTTTCATGCACACGTTTCAACCCAACTGAACTTCTAGGAACCTCATTTGATGTAACTGCTCCCACAAGAGCAGACTGGGGGTAAAAGCTGCTAGCCACTCTGCCGGGGTGCACAAGGGCATCAGGCCAAGGCCACAAGAGCACAAAGGGCGAGCGAGCACATGCCACGCACCGGGCCGGCCAGCCGGCCCTGCCGGGCACTCGGGAACCGCCTGGGAATCCAACCCCTGCTTGGCAGATGACGGGCAACAACTCACAGGACTCTGCGGGAACTCTTCCTCATGCCTTCTGGACAGTCCTTCATGCCTTCCCAACGCCCTTGAACACATTTTCACAGCTCAACAAACTCTGCATGGACCCTTCATCAAATGGCTCATGAATAAAGGAAAGACAAGCAGAGATGGTGGACAGGACACATGGAGCCCACCACTCTTTCTCTTCCTTCCAGCTCTGGATTTCATGTTAGTGCCCTGGCATCCTATCAAGCAACCCCAAAGTCTCAGATAAGAGGTTATCTGCTCAGGCTCAGGGTTGATTAGCAGCAATGTTCCTAACATTCGGGGCAGGCAGACTGGCCAGGCAGCCTGGCTTCATGAGGCCCTTGGCACATCCTCCCTGCCACCCTACCACATTGATGCCAGAGAGGGTCAGCTGACCAAGGGAGCAGCTGAGAAGACAAGTGAACATCTTTGTTCTGGTGGTCCAGTTTTCTCCTAGTATCTTTGTTAATGCATGTGTGTAAGTATATAGTCCTATGATACTGTGTATTCATGACATGATCGAACACACCATCAATACTAGGAAATACTGGTACTTAATATCCTCTTAGGGGAAATTTACCTCCTAACGATAGGCTGGGAAGTCACTAAAAGAACTGTTCGGGGTGCTCGCTTCAGCAGCACACGAACATTGGATGATTAGCATGGCCCCCACTCAAGGGAGGACACGCAAATTCGTGAAATGTTCCAGAGTTCGATGAACACGGGAAGGGAAGGAAAAGACAGACAAAAACAGAGGAGACAAACCGTAAGAGAGTCTTAACTCTCAGGAACAAACTGAGGGTTGCTGACGGGGAAGGGGGTAGGGGGATGAGGTGGCTGGGTGATGGGCATGAAGCACTGGGTATTATAGAAGACTGATGAATCACTAAATTCTACCCCTGAACCTGTGGGGCGCCTGGGTGGCTCAGTCGTTAAGCATCTGCCTTTGGCTCAGGTCATGGTCCCAGGGTCCTGGGATGGAGCCCTGCATCGGGCTCCTGCTCCGCGGGAAGCCTGCTTCTCCCTCTCCCACTCCCCCTGCTTGTGTTCCCTCTCTCGCTGTGTCTCTGTCAAATAAAAATAAATAAATAAAACTGTTTAGGAAAGAAACATAACCACATGACTTGGCACATACATTAAGAATTATATACAAACAAGAATGTTGGTGTACTAATACTCAAAACAATCTAACTCTATTATGAAAGAAACAAAATGCAGGAAACGCCTGAGAAACAAGCCTCCCACAGGCTTCAGACTCCACACAACTGCAATTTCACCGCGTGCGTGTGCGGGGATGGAGGGACAGCGCCAGCAACCAGGCTTCTGCTCAGGCAACCGTCCCCACCAGTGTGTCGGGCTGCAACTCAAAAAGACTGAAGTTTAACCAACATGCTACGATCCACCCACCCCCACTGTACCAGCTTGTGCACTCAGTCCACGCACAGGGCAGAAGGTCACACCAGAGTAAGGTGGTTTTCCCAAAGCATCAGCAGAAAGGAGCCAATCCGACTTCTGCAACATCATCTCCAGTTCCACGGTTCTTCGGCGAGGCTCCCTGCCACTTGCTAAAAAAAGGCCTGTGTTCTCTATCTACTACCCATGTGTGGAATGCTTGCAGTATCAGGATGCAGTCCCCAGCGGTGAGCGTAAGAGGAGGGTGGGGTGGGAGAAGGGCATGATGGCGAGACACGCTTTCCTGACACACATCAATCCTGTATGTAATAAACTGCAGTTTACAAGACTATGAAACTGAACATTTACTAGTCAGGGCCCAAAGAGCAAAGAAGTGTTGTAAACCAAGATGCACCCTCAAGCCCTCCCAAGCCACACCTGGTCATTACGTGGCATGAAGGAGCAGGGCACGATGCTTTCCCAGGTGAACGAGGAGGAATGGAAAGGGACAGTCACCGCCATGCTGGGCTTACTCCTCGAGCACCAGCTCAGTGAGTGGTGCCCCCCAAAGGACTTCTACTCGTCACACTTGCATTCCAGAACAGGTCCTCTGTTTTCTGAATGCTCAGATACGAGGAAAAGGACCGACGGTCCCCAGTAAATGACTCACCCACCCAGGTAGTGTGAGGGTGCCTGACAACAAAGGCAAGAGGAAAGTATTTGCCACCCGAGGGCAAACAGCGAGCTGATGGGCCTCTTGATGCCCACGACCAGTTCTCCCTAACAAGTGAGACTCCAAAGTCCCAACAAGTCCTGGTCTCTGGATCTCCGTGACTTCTACATTTCTGACTGATATGGTTAAGAGCTGTTATAACTTCCCCTCCCTTGACCCTCTCAAATGTCAAGATGTAGAAACTAATATAGCCAAAAGTCATCTGGCCTATCGCAGTCCCAACTGTTAATCATACTAAGAACCAAGGTCTACATCTAATTAATGCAATCACTACAGCTCAAGGAGTACAGAATAGCATTCTCACAGCGGATGAAGCAAGAACAGAAAGTCACCCACATGACCAGATTGGGAGAAATACCTAAAAATCAAAGCGGGTGCATTACATGCTGGAAGGACACAGGAAATGCGGATGGAGAAGAAAAATGGAAGTCAACGTTTCTTGAAGGACTTGCATCATTTAACCACCCAATGCACAAGTACTGACCACAAAAACACCTGAGGTGGTATCAGAATTTTTTTTTTTTTTAAATATAAGCCATTGGGTCATAAAAGTCAACCCCTCTTGACCACACAGTATCAACTGTTCCAATTTACTAGGCAATTTTGGGCTTGAAAACCTCCAGAAATGGTTACTACTACCTCCATCCTGTTACTGAACATGCTGATGGTTAACTTTCGCCACTACGGAAATCCAACAGCAAAGACAGTAAGACCGATTATAAACTACTATTCGATTCTCTGAAAATAAAATTCCAAACTAATTAGGTAGCGCTTCAAAGAAAAATGAGAAGAGCAGTCCCTGAAGAGGGTAGTGATAGGTAGGAGGTAGGTCATCAAGGAGAAATTTTAAACCTTTAGAAGATAATAAACAGAAATGACCACTGACTAGAAAGATGCTATCTCCCCCCTCCCCCCCCAAGCTTGGCCATTCTGTAAGGAACAGACTTCAGCAGACTAGGTACACAGATTCTAAGAGTAACTTCAGGAAATCTAAAGCTAACTCTACAAATCTCTACAATTTGCCCTTGAAAGAACTTCAAAGAAAAGAGAGGAAGGACAAATCGCCATTCGTGCAGCCACGAACATCATCATCGTCTTCATCATAAAGTTACTGAGTTCCCAAACTCGCATCTGGAGCCTCTGGAGCTGTAAAGGAAGCAAAATCCATCGAACTCAATCAGACCAACTGAGGGACCACAGGGATGCAGGGAAAAGAGCAGCCTGACATCCCAAGCGTGTGCTGGCCCATCTTCTTCAAGGACTGTAAGGATTTCTGCCCCTTAACAGAGACATGCAGCACATGGCAGACAGGACACGCAGTGCGTGACAGACAGTGCACACGGGATGTGAGCCTGTCGGGGCAGGCGCCCCGCTGTTTCCACAAGGCATCCAAGCCTACAGAATCACAGAAAAGCATAGGGACCAACAAATGACCAGAGCCTGCAATGTCCACTATGAGCTCTTCTCGCACGTCATTCCTCATGGGAGCGATGCTGCCAGAGCTGGGAAGACGCCTCACGGCTCCGGGTAAAAGGGACTCCTTAACACGCACCCCCCCGCCCCAGACAAATTTGTAAAATGAACATTGCTATCAACAACACAAGTGCAGAACGAAGGCCACGTTCCCCCAATGCCAATGAAGAACATTTGACGGGGATGCTCCCCACCAAGAAATTTCAGCAGAAGGACTCTCTGAAGTCAGAAACCTCTGCCTCTATCCTGCATTGTAAAGCAGAGTTCACAGCGGGACGTGCACCCGACAGTCTCAAAACACGCCCCCCGCCCAAGAAGGATCCCAAACAGGAGACCACAGGTCTAGTGCAATGCCTCCCGGGAAGCTCTAACTAAGGGAGTAGACAGGACTTCTTGCTCCCCTACGGGGGCATCAACCTGCTCTATCGGGAGGGTTCATCCCACCCACCTTTCATGACAACTGTAAATTCTACGTCTGTTCAGTTCCAGGTTATCAACTGCAGTTTCTCAATGACAGAAATCATCTATCCTAACGGCCTAAACCAAGTGGGCTTTCTAGTATCAGAATTTTGGTTTGTGAACCTACAACAGGCTTCTCTTCTCCACAGGCCTGGAGGGCTAGGACAGCACATTTCACAGCTTCCCTTAGTTCAACTGTCTTCAAGAACTTACACTGCATTCTGCACTGTTTTTAGTTTCTATGAAATTTTCTACAATACTCTTTGTTTCCAACAAAAACATTTGATTCTGTAAAGACTCTATGGTACCTGGGCAATTTTCACATGCCTTCTAGTTGGGACAGGAATTTGTCTGTCATGAAGGAACCATCCTTAGGTCCTCCTGTCTTTCTGGCAGGACCCTATGCTTACCCAAAACAAAGCTGAGTGGGGCTGTTCAAATGCAAGCCACGTCCAGTTTAACATCCCTCTGGCTGGAATTCTAGTCACTGGTGACTGGATCTTCAACGTGATTTTACACATCGAAAAACAAAAAAGAGCTTTATTTTTGTTCACACCTATGTCACCCCATGACTTTGACATGCATATCACATCTTTAAATGAGCTGGCATCAAACGTACCCTAGAAAACTAGAACCTACTTGTAAAGAATGAGAAAGTCGTATAGCTATTTCTTCCTTCCCCGTAAAAATGTTACCATAGGAGAAGCTTCAATAAATTGCTCATCATTATGTAACACAAACAGGAAAATAGACACCAACCCTGCAAATATACTGAGAAAAAGGAATACAGGTCACTCAATACCGACGTCCACCTTGAGGAACAGAACTCAACAAGAATGAAGGGACACTGGAAGCCCAGGTACAAAATCATACACAGACACAAGAAGGCTACAGGCCCCACTCAGGAAAGAATGCACCAAACACATTCGCATTTATTATTATTTTTTTAAGCAAATGACAAAGACCCAGTTTACCAGCTTTACTTTTTTAAACCTAAGCTTAACATTACATATTTAAACAATTGTCAAATCTTACTAAGTTGCCAGCATTCATGCACAACTAGAAAAACATCCTCAATTTATTATTAAACGAGAAATGTATTACCATTAATGCATTAATATCTCTCACTACTAAATACTGAAAAAAACTTGAAATTATTTTTGTGGAAGATTCATCCTGGCAATGTTAACTTCACAGCAGGCTGACTCTACTTGGCTCACGTTTCAAGCACGATGGAAAAGCAGGTCCGTGCTGGTGTTAGTTTATGAAAGAGTCACGGCCACCGTGGATTACGTTTAATAAAAAAGCAAAGTGCATACAGAGATTTACAACAATTTTAAAGACAAAAAACAAAAACAAAAACGAAACAAAACAAAAAGAACAAAAACAAAAAACCCCCAAACAATGGTCCTATTATGTGGTCCCAACAATAAACTCAAAAGTCTATGACAAAGAGGGCTCCGATGAGCTGTGTATAAATACTTTAGATTAGGTACAGTTATACTGAAAGTTGAGTTCGTTTGAAATCTTCAAAAAAAAGCGTTCCTGTCAGTCCTCAACGGTGCCCGTTACAGCTAACGCGCCTGCCACACACGTGCGTTGTTACTTGTTATCCAAGCGCAGCAGCTGCTCCTTACCATTTATCGTTAAGGACTTTAACTGGCCGTTCTCTTCCACTTCCACTCTTTCTTCACCGTTCTCCACAATTCTGAAAATAAAATGCATTTCAAACCTTTTTTTTTAAAGTCAATACATGTGAATGTACCTATTTTTAAAAAGCTAATTCCCACTCGCATATATGAAATCACTGATCTTGAGGGCTAAAAACACAGGTGAAAGCAACCTGACAACAATTCCTTCTTAGAATACATTTCTTCTGACAGGTAAGAGCAGCGTCTCAAACACTGCGCAGGTGAACACGCACTGTTCACGGTGTTACTGTTCTAGCAGCGCTAACCGAAGCTTCCAGGCGTTTCTATGTTATTACACATTTTAAGTGTCGCTCTACATAAAGATCACTTCTGCTGCAGAAGTATTAAGCAGCAGTTCAAATGGGAAAGCTCTAATTCAGACGTCAAGATCCCACCGCTGCCAGGTTTAACATACACCCTACACATGACACTCGGAGGGTGCGTGTGCACGCTCGCACCGCAAAGGACACGAGGCACCCACCAAACAGTACACCTACTTATTTAAAAGGTATAAATAGCCACCGTACCTCTTTGTAGTGATTTTTCTGCCATTAACCATTTTAGTAGAAGTTGATATAGATTTGAAGTTGCCCATCCCACTACCAGCAAATGCCGTGGAAGAGAACGAAGTGAGGCCCCCGTGACCTGGTGACGGGAAGGAAGTAAATCCTGTGGGAAAACAGGAAGATCAGGGAGCAATGTGTCAGTACTAATGTAACCCAAGTATGAGTAACAGGAAAACCACGAAGGAACAGATCAAACCAGGAGAGTGGTGCCTGAGCAGAGCGGCCCCGGAACCACGAGGAGGAGGGAGGAGGGCGCGTGCTCCCCTGGAGGCTGGGGAGCAGGAGAGCCCCCCCTTGTTGCATCCTATTTCCTGCCCCCCTCCCGGCCGGGCCCTCGGCTGAGCCCACTGGCAGCTCACCCTGGCAACAGGCGGCCAGCCGGGCCCGTGCACCACAGAGGAGCGGGACGGCAACGGGCATCGCCGTGCGGCAGGAGCAGAACGCTCACCGGCACAGAACGCCGAACCCAACCTGCTTACCTTCTCCTTGCAATGTGACCACGAAGGGGTGACACTCTGAATTATTAAAAAGCTCAAGAATTTTAGAAAGAATACTGCAAACACTTACTGAAAAAGTATGAATCTGCCTAATTCACTTGCGGACAACATTCTCAATTACGGCAATCACACTCCAGACACTAAAATCCCTGATTTCCACAAGTTACACGAAAGCAAAGCAACCTTTGATACTGGGACTGGTTTGCTTGTTTCAAGAGCTTATCACTACTCGTCCCACTTGGAAAATATTCACATTAGAACAAATCCCCATACGCCCTCAACATGACGCTTTACAAGGCTCCTAGAAGTAAGGTCTGCATCCACACCCCCCCCAACACATTAGCCACCATTTCTTAAATGAAGTACTATTCTGTTGATGTATTAAATCCGCTTTCCTGGACTCTCCCTTAAGCCTGAGCAATTCTCCTGCAGCATACTGTGCGGTCCCTAACGACGGGCTGCTGTAGACAGGCCATCTACAGTCGCCCCTGCAGCCAAGGGTCAGCAAACCCACCGTCTCCCTCCAAGGCGCCAGCGCATACTCCGAGGGAAGAACGCGGAGCTGTATGCTGCAGGCAGCCTTCGTGACAAGAACCGCCAATTCCTACCACGTAGCATTTGAAATAATCAGAGAATCAGAAAAAAACAAGAGCTCCTCTGTTAAGAGGAACTATATGAACTTCCAAGAAAAGACCCTAACTCTCCAGGTAAAAGACGTAATTATATCATGCCACGTGCATAATACTCTGGTTAATCAACTGCCCCCCCCCTTTTGCACATTTTTTTTTAATAAAAGATTTTATTTATTTATTTGACAGAGAGAGACACAGCGAGAGAGGGAACACAAGCAGGGGGACTGGGAGAGGGAGAAGCAGGCTTCCCGCTAAGCAGGAGCCCGATGTGGGGCTCGATCCCAGGACCCTGGGATCCTGACCTGAGCTGAAGGCAGACGCTCAACGACTGAGCCACCCAGGCGCCCCTTTTGCACATTTTTTTTTAACGAGATCTCTACACCCAACATGGGGCTCAAACTCACACCCGCAGGATCAGGACCCAGATGAGCTGCTGTGGGGCAGGGCAGTCACACACGATCGCACCCCCTCGTGCACTCCGCGTGGCCACGGGCACTCGCACAGTGTTCCACCCCACCTTCCGATCCCATCAACCTGGACCCTCCTAGAATACTATCTACTGTTGTTTTTTTTTTAAAGCTGCCAAGGAGGTGTGACAAAAAAGGATTCAGGGAGATCGTCTACAAGTGGGTTTTTTCACAATTATTTACCCCAAATCAAGTAACTCCTTTTAACCAATAACTTCATTAAATGCTGACCTTTAATAGTAAGATTAGAAATGGATTTTCAAGTAAAACAGTCTTGGGAAGATTAGGGGGGGAAAATATAGGTTACTAAGTACAGATTTTCCACACATGAAACTACTGGCAAATCTACAAAGCTATTCTAACCCAAAGGAATATACTCTCTTCAAACTGCTAACTGAAACTGCTGATCAGCACTGATGTCTGTTCACAGATTGGACATTAAATCTAAGGATTTAATACCTGTATCAAAAGAAGAAAACCCTCCTCCAAAAGACGGAAATCCACTGAAGGCAGAGAAAAACGACCCTGTGCCTCGGTTCCTGCTTCCACGGGTGCCTCTTCGACTCCCAAAAAAGTCCTCAAATGGGTCTTCTAAAAACAAACAGATGCAGTTTGTAAAGTCTTTATTCGAGCTTATTTTTTTCATGGGAGAGCTGCGATAAAGGGAAAACGCGTTAACACCTTATAACACACTATTCCATCAGAAGAAAAAACTTATCAAGAAGTTTTAACAAAGCTTATCTACAGAGCAACCAAAGTTCATCTAATGACCAGCAACTTAACTTACTCGTCTAATTCAACTACAGCTAGAATACACTAAGGAATAAATAACCAGACTGCTGACACAATCATTCTATGTAACAAATATAAAATTCAAGATCACTCATGTGCACTTCAAACTCAGACAGGGAGCCGGGGTTGTTTTTTTTTTTCTTTCTTTTTCCTGTCAAGATCTTATTTAAATTCAAGTTAGCACATATACAGTGTACTATTAGTTTCAGAGGCAGAATTTACCAACTCATCACTTTCGTATAACACCCAGTGCTCATCACATCCCGTGCCCTCCTTAATGCCCATCACCCTGTTACCTCATCCCCCACCCCCTCCCCCCCAGCAACCCTTAGTTTGTTCCCTGAAGAGTCTCATAGGGAGTTCTTTTATTTGAGAGTGAGTGTGCCCGCGTGCATTGAGTGGCAGGAGGGGCAAAGGGAGCGGGACACTCCTCGCTGAGCAGGGAGTCCAGCATCAGGACCGGAGCTGATGGCAGTCACTTAACTGACTAAGCCACCCAGGAGGTCTTAGAGAGCTGTTTTAATATGGCCTCTGAGTCCAAGTAGCAGGCACTGTCCCTGCTGCCACCACTGGAAAGATTAAGGGGGCTTCACACTCAGGTAACTGTACTCCAGGGAACCTGGGCTACCTTCCCCAATGTAATTACGAAATAAAAACAAAAATGGATTATTCTAACATTTATTTGCATAACACATAGAGAATGGTGTAACGAGTGAGGCAAAATTTAATAGCTGTTGATCCTGGGCCATAGGATTTAAGAATTCCCTTTACTTTTCTATAAGCAAAAAAAAATTAGAAAGGATTAGTCAAAGTCAAATCTGAATAAATGTTAATTGGCAGACATTAACAACATGCTCTATTTTAACAGAAAATTACTGACACAGATAGCCATAGTATTCCTATTAGACATACCAAATGCTCCTGAAAATAAAAATAAGATTAGCCCTGATATTTTGTTATCAGTCAATGGGGCACTTACTAAAAACATAGGAATCATACAAACTTTTTAAAAATACACTACGGTTCTGTGAATTAATCAGTGTTATTTTTTTCCCCCAGGGAAATAGAGAAGCTCAAGGAATCCTGATGAATGGTAAGAAAAAAACGCATGCCAGAGAAACAAACTACAGAACCAGGATGGTGTATTCGGTACGACCGGGCAAGAGTGACCAAAGCAGGGGAGTTCACGACACAACTCAAGGGCACAGACACACGTGACCTTCGTGGTGAACTCTGCCATGATCCGCAGACACACACGGAGGACCCGCAAGTTGAGAGCAGACGGCTAGGCAAGGCTAAGAAGCTCAAAATAGGGCAAGTAAAGAGCGCGGGCAGTCTTGGCCTCTTTGAGCTGTTCTCAGCGAAAATCGGCTGGTCTGCTTCATCTAATGCTACGTGCAGGAAGATGGGCCTGAAGGACACATTCAGAGTCACTGGTTACTGGTGCCCTCCTGAAAGCGCTTTAGAAAGGACAAGGTGCCAGAGGAAGGAGGAAGGCCTACGTGCAATCCCAGTGCGCAGACATGGCCCCACTGGACCCAGAGGAGCCAATCCAAGGGTCACAGAGGGTACTGGGTTAGAACTGCTAACTGCTGGCAAGTCAACCCCCAGCCTGCTGGTGTTGCAACTTCATGCCAACATTCCACAGCAAATGCTGCCCTTCACAAAATAATTCCTAGGAAAATCATTTATGACCTACTACTTTGTAAATGGGGCTGGGCTTACAGTCCATTGTAACAGAAGTATAAATGGAAGTTCATCTTATCTAAAGCTAGTTAACACTTGAATTTCTCCAGAACTCACCCTATTCAAATAAAACCACAGCCTACACACCGGTGACACCAACTTTTGTCAGAGCCACCCTGATGTCCACCACTCACGTGAAGAAACAAACATTACAAATGCAATTTAAATTTACTGTGCAACTTCTGACTCTCCCCTAAGAAGTTAACATCAAAAAGAATTTACATGGCCTGCTTTACACTTTCAGGAATCCCTAAAACCATGTTGTTCTGCACCTGAGACTTCATTTACACTGAATCCTACCGTGTTTGTTCTCCTAACGTACTTATTAACTTCTTGAGGTTCACACGGCAATCAAATCCTTAGCGCTGTTCTCTTCAGAGCGAGATCCAGGGGCCTTATGGTACCACCATCAGACACACGGGCTCAAATGCTCACACTCTAGGCTAAATGAAGACTTGCATAATTATACAATTCCGTTCTTCAGAAGCTACTTCGAAAGCTGGTTTAGAAGTAGGAGTAAAGCCAGTGGATTTTCAGTTTATATTTTCTGGTATTTTTCTAAAAACTCCTTTATCTTATTTTTGTTGTTGTTGATATTGCACAGCCTAAATGCTTTTCTACAACTCGGGTAGTCATTTTACTCACTGAACTTTACGTTATGTAATTTCAAAATTAAAGTTTATAAAAGTTTAACCCTGAAAATGAAAAGTCTCAGTTACATCAGTCACGGTGACACAAACTTTCTTTTTTTAATATGCTTATGCTGTTAAAAGCAGCCACTGTAAAATTAGACAAATCTTTATTAAGAGCTTATCACTGGCTATTTGGTTTGTACCCTTTCAAAAAGCAGTTAAAGACTGTGTACTGTGACCTTTCAAAATCTTCAAGCCCCAAACTAAATACAATCAATTTTTAAAAACTCTTCAACCCAGCATTTCTACTTCAGGGAAATCACTCATCTCAAACATGGAAATACTACACTGCACTAAAAGAATTCAAAGAATTATATACTGAAAATTGAAAATAACCAAACTTTCCAAAAGAGGAGGAGGTAAATAGCATTTTAAATGCACATTTTAAACGAGCATTAAGTTTAGGCTTTAGAAAAAGGCAGAAGAGAACATTTAGGTAACACATTACAACTACTATAGGTGAAAAATATTAACAGTGGATTTTTAATTGGTAGCAAGACAAATGTTGATTACCCCTTTACCTCATTTATATTTCCAAAATTCTTAGGTATGCATGATTTTTGAGATACAAAAATGATAAATATTTTATTTGTATTTTAGAAATAAAATTGTAGTAAGACAATGTAACATAGCCAAACATGCTACCAAGTACGGTTTTACTTTCAGCCCAGTGGGCATACAAACCACAGCCAGCTGAGGTGTCTGCTCAAGGCTGAGGAAATGGGGAGCATGCGCAGGAGGAATAGACCCCTGAACAATGCGGGCTTAGAGGCCCTGACCCCTCACACAGTCACAAATCTGAGTTTAACTTTTGACTCTCCAAATGCTTAACTGCTCATAACCTACGGTTGACAGGAAGCCTCACCTAGAACACACGTGATTCACATACTTAATATGTTGTAGGTATTATATTCTGTATTCTTTCAATAATGTAAGCTAGAGAATACCAAATATTAAGAAAATCATAAAATACATTTACAATACTGTAATCCAAAAAAAAAAAAAAAAAAAACCCTACAAAAGTGGAGCCGCGTAGTTCAGACCTGTTTATTCAAGGGCCCACCGTACTTACAAACATCAGCTGCGACCACACCTGACTCCTTAAAGAAGGTACTCCATGAGTACCCCCTTCTTATTTTGTTATAGAGGTTTGTGAACACGTTTTAATACGTTAAACATCTTGTTCTCCGCCTCTCCTATCCCCTTACCATGTAACCTAAGACATACACTTTTTATCACAGTATTTCAGGACCTCACCTCCCCATCAGGGAGAAATGTTAGTGCATTTTCAGGCATATACAGGATAGCTATTCTCATGTTAGGGAAAATAATAACTGCGCTATTATCTTTATTTGGAGATTAAGTGTAGTAACTTCAGGAGAGGAGTATGGGTATCAAGTTGACAGAGGGTGGGCCTGTGGTGGTGAATTTCACATGGCAACTTCAAGGGGCCCCAGGGTGCTCAGATATTTGGTCAATTACTGTTCCAGGTGTGTCTCTGAGGGTGTTTTGGATGAGATTAACATTTAGATCAGTAGCCTGAGTGGCTGGCCTCATCCAATCCGTGGAAGGGCTGAAGAGAACAAAAGACCACCCTCCCCCAAGTAAGAGAATCCTCCAGCCTGATGGGTTTTCAACTCGAACACTGGCTCTTCCAGCCTGATGGCCTTTGGACTCCAATCGAGACAGCAGCTCTGCAAATTTTGACCTTGTAAGTCTCCATAATCGACTGAGCCAACTCCTTATAGTGAACTTCCTCAGATATGGATATGTAGTCAGAAACAGAAATATGTAAATATAGACCACGTTGCTTCTCTCTGGAGAAATGGAATACAGATTTCAAAAAATGAAACCGGTATTCCTGATCATTTATTTTACAAGGATCTTTAGGCAGGGGAGATACCAAGGCGACCTGAAACAGACAGAGGTCTGGAGTGTAAGCCAACACGGTCACCTGAGGGCTTGAGGCACCGAGCCCTGGATATATAGCACACCTTCTCCACCTCAGAGATGATCCTGCTAGTCTCTCAAAACAGGAAACCGAATCCTTGAAGGGATCAGTGATATCAGCAAAATACTCATCAAGACCAAAGTAACAAGGTCAAACTTAGGACAAAAAGTACATTTAACTGAATGCTGTGGAATAATTTTGCACAAAACCCACCGTAACAAATGCTTACGTGCATGCATACATACAAACAGCCTTAAGGAAAAAAGAAGTATTGTGAAAGATGTTTTAAGCCATACATTTTCTTAAGTTTTATACCAAAATTCAGTATCTGATAACCACAAAACAAATTCGGAGGAACAGATCAAATAACTCCTTTAACCCCACAGCAAACGCAAGCACAGGAACAAAACTAAATCCATCATGATCAGTACTGCTCCTAGCCCACCAACCCGAAGTACACACTCCAGGAAGAACAAACCCAACCAAGAAGAAGAGGCTTTAATGGCAGGAGGCACCAGCTGCTCTTTCCCCCAGGGCCTCACACTGTGGACTCCCCAGCCACAGAGAAAAACTGCGGGGAACAGAACAAAACAAAATCTGAACGCAGCACAGGCATTTCAAATAAAGAGTGCTGCCTGTTCGACTTCCCTACGCTCTCCCACAGCTGCGGCCGTTCAGAACATCTTCCCCAGGTTCCCAGGAAGGAAGTGGTCCCCTCAACTACAGAGTCCAAAGTTCCACGTGGAAGACATGAGGAGCCAAACCTACAAGAGACTCTGCAAACTGACCCAAGCGAGGCCCACAACTACACTAGAAGTCTAAGAACCAACACAAGTCAAGGCACTGGCTTCCTCCAGAAAACGGAAACCGCACACAGAGGGCCTGGCCGTCTGCGTGATCCAGAGCCGGCATGCAGACCCTCACTACGGGGTGCCCCACCCCCGGTGGGGTGGCCAGCACTGCTGTTCTCCCAGCCCAGGAACAGTTCTCGAACCACCTTCTGCAGGAACCAGCCTTCTCCTCTCCCTGCTGGGGGTGCAGCTGAGGGAGCAGAGTGACAGGAACCAAGTCTGAATCACTCGCAGGCACAAACTCACGCACCGAAAAGCCGGCGTCGCCAGCTACCTTCAACTGAAAATGGACTATTTCCACAGTCCAAGAGCAAGAGTTCTCAAATGAGCCAGAACGACACACTCCGGTATGTTCTCCAAGGGAATCTGACCAGAGCGCTAAGCCTCCTCCAAGAGGAACAAGAAGCCAGAGGGGCAGCAATAGTGCCCCCCCACCCCCATTCAGGACCACGGGCTCTGGTGCATGGAGACCGTCTTTAGCTACTACAGCTGGAAACCAGTCTAACACGCTCCGTTACCTATGTGGATTTTTAAGTCTTATTCCCTGCCTTCTTTCAGCTTACGCGTGTGCAAGGATGCCCTAAGGAATTCGGGAGGGCAGCCGTGCCTCTGACCTGACTTCTGGTTTCTTTTGGCACATCTCACTTCAAGGCTTCCCCTTCTTTCTCCGTCCAAAATTGGCTGCTTCTAACAAACAACTCTTTAGGGAAAACGACGTTACAGGATGGACTGTGGCCCTCCAAAATGATGTGGAATCCCGAAGCCCCGTGAGTGTGACCTAATTCGGAAGGAAACAGTCTTTGCTGAGGATGGAGTTGAGATGAGCTCGGTAAGGTGGGTCTGAATCCAGGAGCGGTAGTGTCTCTAGGAGGGGGAAGTTTGGACAGGGACACGCAGAGGCAGCATGATGTGCACACACGGGGAAGAGAAGGCTACACGCAAGGACCATCTGAGACCGCCGGAAGCTCGACAGAGGCCTGGAAGAGCTGCTCCCTCCCAGGACCTATTTCCGACTCCCGGCTTCCAGGACCAAGAGGCATCAGTTCCTGCTGTCAGCCCCCTTGCCTGTGGAACCGTTTTGCCCCCCCACCCCGACACCCAGCGGGCCTGAAAGCGGCGGCGAAGCCCTGCGGGACCACCAGCCTGCAGGAGCTGCCCCGCCTCTCCTCCTAGGGTTCCACCCCTTGTCCCCTCCGGTGCCCCCAGGTTGGCTAGGCTGTCTGAGCAAGGACTGTCTCAGGCACTAGTCAGTAAGGCACAAACATTTTATTCCACCAGCCAGCCCAGGCTCACTGCCCCACGGGCAGCCCCTCCAGCTCCGGGCCGCTGTCCTCACTCAGCAGCTCCTCGCACTCCTCGCTGAGCTCCTCCACGTCCCCTGGACCCGCCTCATCCTCACTGGACACAAACTCCAGCTCCTCACTCAGGAGCTCGCCCTGGCCCCGGCTACAGCCTTCGCTTGGCTCATCTTCACTATAGACATCAAGCTCCTCGCTAGATATCACATCCAAAACCTCGCTGTTCTCTTCACTCTGGCCGTCTTCTGCCGAGTCCTCAAACCCGGGCTCCAACTCCTCACTCGCCACCTCCTCGAACCCTGGGAGAGCAAAATGATGGGCTCACTACATTAAACTTAGATCTCGTTCGACAGTTAGCTATTACCCTCCTCAACAACACTCCACCTCCCTCCAAAAGCCCGCTTTCCCTGGGGCGCCTGGGTGGCTCAGTCGTTAAGCGTCTGCCTTCGGCTCAGGTCATGATCTCAGGGTCCTGGGATCGAGCCCCACATCGGGCTCCCTCCTCGTCGGGAAGCCTGCTTCTCCCTCTGCCACTCCCCCTGCTTGTGTTCCCTCTCTCACTGTCTTTCTCTGTGTCAAATAAATAAATAAATATCTTAAAAAAAAAAAAGCCCGCTTTCCCTGAGCTGACAGGCCGTATCCGTGTCCGCCGCCACGGCAGGTCTTTCACAGACAAGCCTTACAGGACTGATGCCATCATGAAGGGAAAACGGGCTGAACTGAATGGGTTTTCAAGTTTGGCTCTTACTTTTTTTTAATTTTTTTTTATTTATTTATTCATGAAAGTCAGAGAGAGAGAGAGAGAGAGGGGCAGAGGCAGAGGGAGAGAAGCAGGCTCCCCGCCTAGCAGGGAGCCCGATGCGGGACTCGATCCCAGGACCCTGGGATCATGACCTGAGCCGAAGACAGACGCTTAACCACCTGAGCCACCCAGGCACCCCTGGCTCTTACTTTCTAACATGCAAATAGAAGTAAATAAAAACGTTAAGTTATACCCAAACAATTCTTCCAAACGCTATCCCTGCTGGGCCTCTAATGACTGCAAGATACTAATATTAGTTACTTGTCCATCTTAGAATGTTGAGTAATGGTGTCCTGTAAAAATCAACAATGAACAGATCACCCTAACTCAAGTTAATGCAATCCCTTCCAATTCGCATTTGGACAAGAGCTCATTTTGGCATGCTCAATATTTGGGAAAAGATTTAAACAAAATCAGGTGCCTGCAAAGGTATGACCTGCACCCTCGACTTCAGGGCCAAGGGCTCTGAGCAGGTTCTGGAATCCACGTGACTGCCGGGGGGGGGGGTTGTGGTCACAGGGCTTCAGCATCAGCAAGGCCCCAGGCCCAAGCGCTCTACCACCACCTGACAGTCCTCACTGATGTGTCCTGGGGCACAGATCTGCATACAATCTGTCCAACACTCTTCACACCTCGATCCTTCCCACTGGCTCGCTCACTAGCTCTTTGAAGTTTTGTCCCCTTCCGTTTTGGGAGTCAGACATGGAATTTTATATTCTGATACTTGCAAAGTGCAGTTCAGACTGTCTTCGATTTTTGACCTACTTTTCTTAGAAGGCGTAACAGGAGAGGGGGCAAAAAAAAGTGTGAAAAATTTAGACTAATAATTTTGTGCTACTACAAATGGACATCACAACAGGGCTGAGTAAGAAGATGCAGATGCTGGTGACCATCAACGAAACAACTGCCAGATGAGAAAGCCCCAGCCCTGCATGAAGATCCAGACTACACATACCCCCAGCAGGCTGTACCGTCACTTCATACATGTAGTAGCCGTGGAGAAGCTTCTCTTCCTGTGTGTAAATCCGGAGAGCCTGAAAATGGAAGTCACCTACAACACCTATAAGAATGGATTGAAGAAGTATCACTGCTACACTGATCATGGGAAACATAAAGGAAATGCCTATTCTTAAAATCTGAGCACCTCAGCATCTAAAACTGAGGGCCCAGAGTCTGAATTACAGCAGACTAGTTATCTCTTAAACAGTCCAAAGAAATTGCCACCAAATGTGCCTCATGTCCACAACGTCCGTGAACTACACGTGTACATAAAGATTTCTGTATATACACATATCTCACAATTTACAAGATAGGAAAGTCAAGAGGTTTAAATACCTTATAGTGGGCAAAAAACTGTAATCACTTTCTCATTTACACCCAATTATAATCTCTATACCTTCTTCACTCTAGAAACAACTGCTCAGTGAAAATCATTCCTATTGAGGAAGCTTGGCCTGTCAAACTATTTTCCCAAGGAAAACAAAATCTGGCTCAATTCAATCACTAATGGACTCTTCCCCAAGACAAATCATGAAGATATAAAGCATGCTGGGCCTCAGGCTTAGAGGTCAGCCTGCTTTGCCACCCCCCGCCCCACACCCCGTGATGTGCGCTAGAACCGAAACCCTCGGTGGCAGAAGATCCTCACTTGGCCACCAGGAGATTCACCCAACACTGCCCTGCTCCCCCAAAACAACCCATGTGCGGTTCGCTAAAGGTTGTAACGAGACACAAAAGTAAATTTTAACACAGGGAAGACCACGAAATTCTTTGTATTTTCTTATGGTGAGATCTGTTACATACACAAAAGCCAATCAATAAAGAATGAATATACGTATCTCATATATTAACGGGAAGGGAAGCCTTCCCGATCCATACGCTGCCTATGGTAGCAGCATTAAAGCTGAAGTCTTCGAAAGACCAATCTCCTCTCCACCCCTAACTTAGCCTCACTGTAACACCTGTGGATGAAAAACTAACTCATGCTGATACATATTATACTACCACCCAGCACCCTCCATCAGCTATTCTCTTCAAGTCAAGCCAAACCACAGTAAGAAAGAAGGAAAATCTCTCTGAATCCCCATCTGAAATAAACTCCGGGGCCACACCATTTAAAAGGCCCCGATACCTACCAGACATGGCAGCAAGTTACTTTTCTTCATGCCTAGGATGCGCAAGGGTCCACTGGTTTCTCCCCCGTCATGTGCAGACAGAACATCTCTTCTGGTCCCCCTGGAGGGGAGCAGGTGGTGGTCGGGCTCTCCGACGAGGCTCCAGGCCACAAAGGATGGAAGCACAGGCTGGGGAACCCACAGTGAGCCAACACAGAAACGGCTGCGGTGCCCGAGTTTCCCGGCACCCGGGGCAGCTCCGCAGCCGTGGCGAAGGAGCCCTCGCAGCAGGCGGCCACACCCACTCCCCACCCCACCTGCGTTGGAGACACACACGAAAAGCTGGCCCCAGGCGTCACGGCTAAGAGGTGCAGCTGATGGGAAAATCCATTCTGCAGGACCCAGCAGCTGGAACGGTCTCCTTTGGCAAAAACTACTCTCGGCCAGGAGTACCCGCGCTGCCTTGCTCTAGAGAGGTCCTTTCTTTTCACCCACTGGGAACTCAACAGTCACAATGCCCCCAGTTAGAGAAACAGACACAGGTTTACAGAGCCAATGTCCTCTGAACAACATCTGCTGCAATGCCCAGTGTGTACCCAGAACAATTCGGGGAAAATTCACGTAGAACTCCATGCTCAAAAGCCAGCAGCACCCTCAAGCTCCCAGCACCTGCATCCTTACCACTGTCTAACTGAGGACAAAAGAAGATGTTAATTAGGGCCATACATAATGAAGACAATGAATACGTTTAAACCTTTATTATTTTCACGTGCACAGCGTCCACTCAGAAACCTCTGCCAGAGAAGAAGAAAAATGGATTTTAGAACCCCTACACTGCTTAAACAAAGCCAAACAACAGGGTGCCATGGTGATGGAACAGAAAAGGATGCCCATCTCAGCGGAGTCATGGTCATGCCAAGAGAACAATGAACTTACCGAAAAAGTCGAATGAAAACGGGTCCCTTCCACCAAAAAATTCCCTGAAGACTTCATCTGGGTTACGGAATGTGAAGCCAAAATCAAACGGAGTGTCAAAATGAATTCCACCTACGTAATACAATAGAGCTTTTAGTTTTTGAATTCTTGCGTTTAGGAGGCAGTTACTTATCTACAAAACATCCTATAAATTGGAACCTAAATTAAAAAAAAATGGGTCATACACCCATGGCTTTTTTCGCAGCCTGTGACTGGTGGGGAGACTCGAGCGCGGGCTTCGCACTCCTGAAGGTCACAGCGGCGTAGTCACTAGCACTTTCTCACCATCTCTACAACGACCATCCACACACAGGAAAGCATTTTCTGTCGTGAAGCGTCATGTACATGAAGCAAGGAAACATTCACTCGCGCTCGTCACCCGGGCCGGGTCTGTGCTCAGTCTGCAGCACTAATATCCCAACGCCCACCAAGGGGCTGAGCAGGCGCGGGCTGTCACGGGCACTTCTCATCAAACACACGCACCCATGTGGGGCTGCCGCCAGCCACAGGCCCTCAGGTTTGTGGGTACCGTCTGTCCTCTAAGCCCTATGGATATTCTGACCCAGGATGAGGTACTGATCTGGGAGCACAAGCCCACAGTGTGTCAGAGCAGGGTCGTAATGGACTCCGTATCTACCAACAGCACATCCGCGCACACCATCGTCGTCTAACACGAGGCTGGGCTGTTCAATGTGGTCCACCTCACCTCCTCCTCCGCAATCCAGCCCCTTTCCAGGCTGCATGTGTGTTTCTGAAACACGCCCCGGTCCAAGAAAACTGACAAATCCAACCCCTTGTCAAGACCTCCCGTAGCCAGATGGCCTCCCTTGCTCACTATCAAGCCAAGAAAAAAATCCACATTTACGTACCTCCACCTCCACCATTTAACCCTTCTTTGCCGTATCTGTCATAGATGTCCCGTTTTTTGGCTATAAATTTAAAAAGGAGAGTCAGTAAAGAACAAGTTCTTTTCCCCTTAAAATTCACCTAAGTATTTCCAAATTGTAAACCAAGGAACCAATGCAGTTTTCAAGGTTTCACAGTTAGCTTTAAAGGAGTTTGGCCTCCCTTAAATAAAAACAGGGAAGAGGGATCTCCTTAAAAACTCGGAAAAATTTTTAAGTAGTAGGCAGTTTAAATGAAGTATTTCTTTCAGCCTACTGTACACAGAGCATGTGGCTCATGCAAACATTAAAATCACACTGCAAGTTCTAAAACTACTCGAATTCTAGATGTGTACCTTCTTACTACCAAGTCCAACTACGGGGGATAAGATCTGTGGCATGGAGAAACAGGATGGGGACTCGGTGGGGCAGGAAACCAACGTATGGAAAGCCAGATGACGCGCCAACTCTAACCCCACAGGCTTAATTCCCTTGGAAGAGCAACAGCCCAACCAAGCCTTGACGATGCTCTGCTGTCCTCTGTCTTCTATTTACCTTCTAGAACAAACAACTACCCTGCAGCCTTTGACACGTGTTTTCCCCCAAAATATCAGGTTTTACCAAATTGTGAGGTAAAATAACAGAGGTTATGGGGAAACATGCACAAGCAAACCACTGAAAGCCAGTTCATTTCTACTACCAGAGCTCTAGTAAGAATGGTAACCACACCTGCGAAGGGAACTTCTGGGCTAGAGGCTGCGTAAGAGAACATGAAAGACACTCTCCCTAAGAAAAGGGGAGAGATGAGAAACAACAGCGTCTCTATGAGAATTTAAAGGTTCTCTTCCTGACAAAAATCAACTTTGAGTTGAATTTTTTTTTTTTTTTAATCACTTGACTAAAATAAAAAAACCAGTTTGGGTTTAGTCCTCCATTTTTCTAATGTTCCTGGTCTGTGAATCCACAAATCCGGAAGTGCTGGATCAACACAAACAAGGACCAAACAAATAATGACACGGAGGTCCCACGGTGCTGTCAGTCCAGTTCAGAAAACCAGTATAAGGGGCGCCTAGGTGGCTCAGCTGGTGAAGCGCCTGCCTTCAGCTCAGGTGGTAGTTTCAGGGTCCAGGGATGGAGTCCCGCTCCCTCTCAGCAGGGAGACTGCTTCTCCCTCTCCCCCACCCCTGCTCTCGGGCTCTCTCAGATGACTAAAATCTTTAAAAAAAAAAAAAAAAAAGACAGAACCCACTATCAGGTTAAGACCTTAAATGCCACATCTGAAAAAGATTGCAATTATCAGTGTTTATGTGTTTTCTAGTAACAAGTTACTAGTGAAATAAAAGATCTGGGATTTCCTTTAAAGTAAAAGAGATGTGTTAACAGATAAAACAAGAATGCTCAACGTATTGTTAAGCAGTGGAAGGGGAGTGATGGTTACATGGAGTTCTCTCTAAAATAAAAAATGCCCTTCACAGGGCGCCTGAGTGGCTCAGTCGGTTAAGCGTCCGCGTTCGACTCAGTCATGATCCCAGGGCGCCGGGACGGAGCCCCACATCCGGCTCCCTGATCAGTGGGAGCCTGTTTCTCCCTCTGCTCCCCCGCATGAATTCTCCCTCTGTCACTATGTCTCTCTTAAAAAAAAAAAAAAAGCCTTTCACTAGTGACCCTGACCACATGTGGACACACTTGAGGCGAGCACCCACGCCCTGCAGCCAGTGAGTCCTACTCTATCCTGGGTACCTCTGCCTTGACTCACACCAGGTCATTCGATGCTGCATCCTGGCGAGGCGGTGTCAGCAGATTTCCAGTCTTCTAAAAAAGCTCCACACTGCTCTCCCAAGCCCAGGACCCACACTCTTTTCTTCACCAAGAATCTGCTGACTGAATCTGGCTAACAGCCCACCTTCTGCTTGATTCATGAAACCAGGCTAATGGGTGGGACTTTCAAAAGCCTATGCTTTCCGGGGCGCCTGGGTGGCTCAGTTGTTGAGCATCTGCCTTCGGCTCAGGTCATGATCCCAGGGTCCTGGGATAGGGCCCCGCATCGGGCGCCCTGCTTGGCGGAGGCCTGCTTCTCCCTCTCCCACTCCCCCTGCTTGTGTTCCCTCTCTCACTGTGTCTCTGTCTGTCAAATAAATAAAAATCTTTAAAAATAAATAAATAAATAAAAATAAAATAGCCATCCTGAAAGAACTGCTAGAAGTCAGGGTGCGCTACAGCACAAGTTAACTCTCAAGTATCTGCCAGGAATAAGACTCAAAGTTTCACAAGAAAAATAAGAAACTTCCTTTCTCGGTGCCCAATACCTCAGCCAGCCACATCCATACCCCACTGGCCCTGGGGAGAGCCCCAGCTCTGGACAGGTCAACTCACCATCTGATAACACCTCATACGCCTCAGCTACTTGCTTGAATTTTCTCTCTGCTTCTTCTTTATTCTCAGGGTTCTTATCGGGATGCCACTTGAGTGCCAATTTCCGGTACCTTGAAAAGAGTCAAAGAGCAGAGGTCACGTCCACGTGCAGAACTCCACTGGCTGTGGGACATCATGCGGCTGCGAGATGGATGCGGAGCTTTAAGCTCGTGACACGAACATCGATTTCAACAGTAAAAGCTCCCTCTCCCCCACCACGAAAGAAACAAGTTCTCAAATCCACCCAGCGGAATACAAACCAACCTCTAGAGATACAGGAATGTGAAAATGTGTGAGGACCAATGCGTGCAGGCCGAACTGGTCAGCGGCTGAGAGAGCACAGCACACAGAGGCAGGGGCCAGGCCTGGTCACAAAGGCATGGGTAAGGCCGACAAACCGAACCAGGGACCAGATGGGTTCTAGGAGGACAAGCTGGGGTCACATGACAAGGGTTTTTTAAAGCAGCTAACACCAAGGACGTTACAGCACCACACTCTGAGTGCCGAGTGCCAAGTCAATTCCATTCCAAAGTCCAACGTCAGTTCTCTGCGATTATTTCACATCCTCAGTGTTTGATCTACTTTAAGCAGCCAGCAGAATCCACTGTCCCAAGGCAAAGTAACAGAGGAAACCAAGTGACCTTCTTATTCCTCAGTGACAAGGGACAGGCTGGGCCTAGGTCTGAGAAGGCAAGAGTTAATTTGCTAACTATTCTGTCCGAAGATAAAATTAAACAGCAATATTCAAAGAGTGTTAAATTACATGGCCCATTTCAATAGATAAAAAGTAACAATACCCAAGGACCAGTGCAGGACTGCACAGATTATTTCATAAATACAATTACTTACGCCTTTTTAATATCCTCGGCTGAGGCATGTCTCTGCACGCCTAGAACTTCATAGTAATCCACCATGTTTTAACAGGCTGTTGGAGTGAGTCCTGCGATTAGAAAATCCACAGTCAATGACAGGACTGCCAAGGTTAGGTTCATCGTGGGGAAGGAACACAGCAGAGAGGGAGGGGAATGTCACCTCACCTGCACACTAACCACTAGCCTGTCAGGCTGGACCCTTGTCTGGGAACAGATTCCAAGACTTGTGCCCTAAGACCCTTCTTGATATAGAATAAAAAGCTCTGAAATAGCCTAATAATAGCTGCCTTAACTAAATAAAACTAACAGGTGACTCTGAGGCAGACACTCAGGGCCCACTTGACCACCAGCTGACAGGCCCTTTGTGAGTATCTTGTTTTCCTGACACGGGCCGTGCTCAGGGAGCTTTGGTTACCTCCTTCATTCAGTGCATTCCTGTGCCAGGCATTGGGCAAGACTGCACAGCCACCAGGATGAACACACTGTCCCTGTAACATGGGAACCACACAAAGACTGGGGACGAGCTGATGCGCACCTCCCCCCCCCCCCGCACCCTCCCTCAAAGTCCTGAGAAAGAAAAAGGAAATGTCTTTGACAACACAGCTATCAGAGTACCTTTACCCTCTGGCTTCAAACTCCCATCCATCCACAAAACAAACACATTACTGCCCTGCAGTCGATACTGACGAGAGAATGTCCCCACAGATCTCACCTTCAGTGGAAAACTAGCAGCAGAGATTTGCCTCACACTTACCCATGTCACTGCCTAGGGCAGGACAAGGAGAATCCGTTCTGCTTCTGCCACCTCTAACAGGAAGGGCCTTGGGTCCCACAAACCAGGTACATGTATGCTGCCTCTTCAAGTGAAATCTAATGAATTCACTTCTTTGAGTAAAACACCTCATTCAACGCGTGATCAAAAACTTACGAAGAACAGGCCTAGCCTCTGACAGGACGCATGAATTTCACCAGGAGAACAGAGCCTTCGGTCAGACTGCTCTGCCCACACCTGAAGCTGGGCTTCCCACGGCGTCCCCAGAAACTCAACTATCAGACCTCAGAGACACTCTGACTCTGAGTCAGGACATGCAATCATAGTCTTCCTAAGGCCACCGTGCCGAGGCTGAACGCGGTCTAGGTTAAATAATGTCACAACTAGCAATTTTTCCACTGCTCAAAACAAGATGCACACACAGTCGTTGCCAACGTTGGGGGACCAACCCACGGTTTAAAAAAAAAAAAATCTAGTATTACGTCATGACTCCAAACTGAAATGTACCAGCCAAGCATTTACAGAGAAACTCTGTATTTAAAGGGTCAAAAGGGGGTGCCTGGGTGACTCAGTCAGTTGGGCAGCAAACTTTCAGTTTCAGCTCAGGTCATCTCAGGGGGCTCAGGTCATGATTTCACAGTCATAGGATTGAGCCCTGCATCCGCTTCCTGCTCATGCTCATGCTCGCTCTCTCAAATAATCTAAAAAGTAATAATAATAAATAAAGGGTCAGAGGAAGCAGATGAAATCTACTCGTTACTAGTACAGGAGCTAGACACAAGGAATAATTCAAAAATATCACAAGATTGGGGCGCCTGGGTGGCTCAGTCGTTAAGCGTCTGCCTTCGGCTCAGGTCATGATACCGGGGTCCTGGGATCGAGCCCCGCATCGGGCTCCCTGCTCTGCAGGGAGCCTGCTTCTCCCTCTCCCACTCCCCCTGCTTGTGGTCCCTCTCTGTGTCTCTCTCTGTCAAATAAATAAAATCTTAAAAAAAATAAAATAAATAGGGCGCCTGGGTGGCTCAGTCGGTTAAGCGACTGCCTTCGGCTCAGGTCATGATCCCAGGGTCCTGGGATCGAGCCCCGCATCGGGCTCCCTGCTCCGCGGGGAGCCTGCTTCTCCCTCTCCCGCTCCCCCTGCTTCTCCCTCTCCCACTCCCCTGCTTGTGTTCCCTCTCTTGCTGTGTCTCTGTCAAATAAAATCCTTAAAAAAAAAAAAAAAAACCAAAGGATGATGTAAAATAGATCCCCCCCCCACCTTGAAATACCTAGAAATGTTAAAGTCCAACAAATACATTTGAAGAAGCTGAGCTGCCAGAAAGAGGCTCAAGTGCCAGACACAACCAGGAGTCTACACCAGAAGTGGTAATCCTGAGATTGGGGCCGGGAGGGGGCGGGGGGTGGGGGTCGGTCCTACGTTCTCAGGACAGGACTTGCTTTTGAAGGCACAGGAAAGAGTGGCCGCACTGCAGACAGACAGACACACACACACACACACGCCCCCCTCGTACTGTGGCTCCCCAAGGGCTGTAATTACAAGGGGGAGGAGAGAGGTTTCTCTCCAACCCGCTGCAGAGAAAGAAGCCCCCTGGGCACCTGAAGCCTGAGGGCTCGGTCAGAGGTACAGAATGAAATCTTATTACCTCCATTATCCTGCGATGCTCCACACTCTGCAGAACTAACAAATACGACCCCGGGATGGTGAGGCAAATACAGGTACACCTGAGCACTAAGTATCTCCACAAGCTAAGTCACACAGATTCCAGCAAAAAAACACAACCCCTGCTCAACAGGAGCTGACAAACTAGAGACGAGGAAAGCATGAGGAGGAGTGAGAACACCTCCAAGAATCTGAAACAAAGAACTTGAAAGGGAACATACTAAAAAAGCATTCGGGACTGAGCTTTGGTGGCTCAGTTGGTGAAGAGTCTGCCTTCGGCTGAGGTCATGATCCAGGAGTCCTGGCATCAAGCCTAGATTCGGGTTCCCTGGGGCTCCCTGTTCAGCAGGGAGCCTGCTTCTCCCTCTGCCCCTCCCCCTGCCCATGCTGTCTCTCTCAACTCAGTCTTTTATAAAAGAAGTTTTATAAATACTTTTTTTTAAACATTTTATTTATTTATTTGAGAGAGACTGAGAAAGAGAGAATACGAGCAGGGGGAAAGGGAGAAGCAGACTCCCTGCTGAGCAGGGAGCCTGATGCGGGACTCGATCCCAGAACCCTAGAATCATGACCTGAGCCAAAGGCAGACACTTAACAACTGAGCCACCCAGGTGCCCCTAAATAAAAACTTTTAAAAGTTTTTATAGATATTATAAGTTATTTACATGTTGTTTTTATAAATAAAACTTCATTTTTTTTATTGGGGGGTAGGGGGCAAGGGCAGAGGCAGAATCCCAAGCAGGCTCCACACCATGACCCTGAGGATCACAACCTGAGCCAAAGTCAAGGGTCAGATGCTTAACCCACTGAGCCACCCAGGAACCCCAATAAAAGTCTCTTTTAGGTAAACTCTACCCTCAACGTGAGACTCAAACTCACGACCCCGAGAGATCAAGAGCTGTATGCTCAGCTGACGGAGCCAGTCAGGTGCCCCAAGTACAAACAAACAAACAAACAAACAAACAAAAAGGCACATCCAGGGGCGCCTGCGTGGCTCAGTCGTTCAGTGTCTGCCTTTGGTTCAGGTCATGATCCCAGAGTCCTGGGCTCCCTGCTCAGTGGGAAGCCTGCTTCTCCCTCCCCTACTCCCTCTGCTTGTGTTCCCTCCCTCTCTTGCTGTCTCTGTCAAATAAATATTAAAAAAAAAAAAAAAAAAAAAGACATATCCAGTCATGTCATTTAACAAAACTCTTGTAGCTGACATAAAATAGGGCCCTGCAGCGCACAATTAAAAAATCCATGTTCTGGGGTGCCTGAGTGGCTCAGTCCTTAAGCATCTGCCTTCGGCTCAGTCATGATCCCAGCATCTTGGGATCCAGCGCCACATCTGGCTCCCTGCTCAGCGGGAAGCCTGCTTCTCCCTCTCTGTCAAATGAATAAATAAAATCTTTAAAAAAAAAAAAAAAAAGGAAAACAGTATCACAAAACCAGAAACGAACAACTGGACACCAAACTCATTTTCAGAAAGCCCTTCGGTCAAAGATCTCATGAAGGAAATCAGGATATATTTTGGTGAAATATCGTATATCAATTTGATCACCTGGTGAAGGAGAAATTTAGAAAAGGATGTAGAACCTCAAATACAGCAATAACAGTTCTACAGATAGGAAGGTTAAGAACTCAGAACAGACTTGAACAAGACTTACCATTTAAGAACATCAAAATACGTACTTTTCTCAAATAGAGTCCCAGAATTTTTTTAAATTACAAATTAAGGAGAGAAAACTCTATGGTGACTATTTTCTGGTAATTAGCTGTGACAGACACAGAAGAAAGAGAACGCTGCTTGGGAGGAAGACCTCCTCCTCTGTCCTGTGGCCCTTCCAGGGGGCCTCAGCCACAGACACGTGGACGGGAGAAAACTGAAGGTAACAGGCACGGACAGGAAATTCACAGGCAGGCAGGCAACAGGAAGCTTTTAGGCGCTCAGGAGAGGGGGGTCTGAGGACAGAAATGGGAGGAAGACCCTCAGCAAGGAGAGAGGTTTGGGAACACAAGGTTGCGCTGCGTTTCCTTAGGTAAAGAGGAGTCTCTGTTAATAGAGCTCTTCCTGGTGCAGGCTCTCCTTTCCTATGTAAATTAAAGCAGTTGAGGGGGAGGCAGAGGGCCTTTTCCCGCATCTGCTGGGTTTTGATTACTTTTAACTCCGATATAATCTCTAGGCAAAAGTGGCCCATCCTGGGGCAGCCTGCCATGAGCCTCTACAGTAACAGGACGACATACCCATGAGAACATGATTGTGCACAATATGGTTTTTGCAATTCTGTTTGAGTATGTTCAACATAAACTATTGAAGTATTTGTCTGAAATGCAATCAGTTACACAACATGGAAGTGAGCACCTAATTTGAAAAGGTTTCCTCGCAGGTAGTTACAACATTCAAAACACACTGGTCGGCCAGTGACTGGTCGGCCAAGTTCAGTCTCCAAATTACTTGCCACAGAAGAGGTCCCAATTCTCATGACCTAGAAGCACAGCAAGCTTTATCTTCAGGAAGTAAAAACCTAACCACCCACAACAAGGCAAGGGCAGCCAGAAAGAGCAGAAAAATCAGCATCCTAGCATCTCCACTTCAAAGGGCTAATAATTAACTACGCCAGATTACTGTCCCTTGTGGGCCCCAGCTGTTGCTGCGT